AAATTTTTACTTGCTAATTTGAGCAGTTAATTCTGTTTAATTTCAAATAAAAATTCAAAATTGAATTTATTTTTAATATTTAGAAGCCATAAATAATATTTAAAACACATTATTTTTTAAATAAAATGACAAAAAGTATCGGTTACCATCAATAACTTTTCCAGCAATGGGTTTACCTTAAGTCGTATCGCTCGCCAAAATCTGTGCAACCGTCTACCAAAGTAGCACCCTAATACTTGTACAGCTTCAATATTTTCAAAGATTTTTTTTATTAAAGCAGTTATACAAATAAAAAAGACTTATTGTTTTATTCCCCGTGCAGTGCAGCACGCGACGAATATTATGAGAAAGCCAAGCCGGAAAAATTAAAAATACAAGAGCATGTGCATTTAACATTGCATAAATTTAACATATATATAATAGAATTTGGAAATATGCAACCGGTAAAAACAGGCAACAATGAAAAAACAAATATCTTTATTATATGCGGCTTAAGTGTTTGTCGCCGACAGTTTATTGGTTGGTTTTATTATAGTACATGGATTGGCCAGCCATGTACTATAATTAAATTTATTGCAATTATAATCTAATGTTACTCTAATGCTCCAGACCTCAATCCTATAGAGCATGTCTGGGACGCTTCGGGGAGGGCAATTGCAACTCGCAACCCCCCTCTGAGAACCAGAGTTGCTGAATGAGTGGAATCAGTTGCCATAGGCACTGATAAACTGCATTATTTCCAGTATAAGATCATGCTGCGAGGCCTGTAAGGGGGGACGACCCACCCCCGTGCAGCCGCTGGTCCAGACTCTCATGACTGTTACACACAAACATGTGTGTCTATTATAACTGTTGAATGTTTATTTTGTTTGTATTATATCAAACTATGTTCACACCAAATTTTATTAACATCTGTCCAGTAGTTGAGATCATATAGATCAAATATGAAAATTCTCTTAATTTCTTACACCAGTGTAGAAATGGAAACATCCAACTTAAGAGTCATTCTGCTTTACAGAACTAATACTCTGAGGACACGAATTTTATATGATCACAACTGCAAATGGGGACATTTGATTTTGGCTTTACATTGATTTTTTAAATGACTAATTCTTAAACATGAAAAACAAACACCTTTCTTTTGCAAAATTTGCCTCTTTTCATTTAAGTTCATAGTTTCAGCTTTAAAACACTTAACACTCATATGAACTTATACTTCACAGAATATACAAACATTTTGCTTACCTATTCTGGTTTCATTTGCACTTATCAGTGTGGCAGCTGTTGCTAAATCTGAATTAACCAAGATAACATTTTTATTAACACGTTTAATACAATGAGTAAATCCTGAATGAGCTAACTGAATCATTTCTTCTGATTCTACTTCATGCCTTAAAAAACACATTAGTTTTCCAAGCGTTCTTTCAGAACTTTTTTCCCATCCTTGTTCGGATGTTCAACTCCTCTCCCATGCACGCAGAATATTCTCAGGTAGGCACAACTCTACTAAAGGTCCCCCCCCCACCAAAAAAAATCGGCAAACTTTTCCTTGGTGCATCCTAAGCTTCCCAGCGCTCGTAATTTACTTTCTATACTGTCGTAAAGCACTGCTAAGTCCGACGCCGTACTGCCTGTTGTAGCATTCTTTGTAATACACCCAAGCAAATCTCGTACATAGATCTGCACCAGAAAGGTCTTCTCTACCAAATCTTTCCTTCAGCTGCTCAATAGCTTTGGGATAATTTGCAGCGGTAACAGGAAAACTGTTCAAACATTGAGCTGCCTTTGAGCCAGGTACTGTACTTTGCACTAAGTACAAAAAATTTATCTTCCGGAACAATATCAGCATCTTCATGAATTTTGGAGAATTCGGCTCCAAAAGCCAAAAAATTATCTTGCATCTCCAGAGAACTTTTTCAGTTCAAGTTTAGGAAGTGCGAATTTCCTGTTTTTTTATTTTCTTTAGCATCCGTAATCGAAACCGGAAGAAATATCTGAAGTAACATTCATCGAATTCAAATGTCTAATTTCATTCTGAAGTTTCACCTTTTAAGCTATACAGGAATTTCTATATCCTTCAGCCGTATTAAATTCATTCTCAAAATCAGCTTCCTTGATTTGTTCTAAAACATTGCTTTAAGCAAACACTTGTCTAATCGTTCAAATTTGTCAATCAGTTGCCCCAACAACACTTGCAATCTCTCAGGATCTGCACAAGTAGGCAATTCTTCCACAATCTTCGTAGTTAACGTAAGCGAAGTACGTTCACTTTTACGTTTTGCTCTTAACAACTCCATTTTAACAAAACGCCTAAATCAAAACTACTCGAAATCACACAAACGTCCTGTCAAACGGATGCCATACTTATATGTTGAAATTAAATAATGTTTGTATAATCCGAGTTCAAAAACGAAGCATTTATTTTACCTATTTAAAGAAAGAACATTCTGAAACAACATGTTTCATTTACACAATCAACCGGCACTCTCACTTCAAAACATTACACCAAACTTGGCACACATCCAAAAGAACAAATCGAAGAAATACAGAAGAGTTGTTGCCACACAAGAATATAAATATAGTTACAAGCTTAACACAATAATAATAAAATTCTTATAAAAAAAACAATAGTCTTGATTATGTAACACTTATAATATCTTAAATATCAGAATTCAATCACTTTGCAAACTTACAAAATGATTCAACTAAGCTGGTTAAATACCCCCATTCATTACACTAGAATCTTATAATATGAAATTCTACTGTACAAGAAATTAATTAGTTTAGACTCTTTTTACAAAGTTATCAGGGATTTCTTTTAATTTAAACCTCCTCCACTATTTCTATAATGACGTAAATATGAATTTGTGGCTTTTAGACAATCTCAATGCATTCCTGAATTCAAACGTGCAGCTCTTACTAAAACGAAGTTTGGCCAACCATAGTATATATATTTATACAGTTTTGGTATGGCTGATTGCAATCAAAAAGGGGAGGTGCTCAACTAAATGTTAGAGCAGTTCTATATATAAAATTTCAATGTTCTGAGACTACTCGTTTTTGAGTATACATACAGCATGAAAAAAAACCTCTTCTGAATCTATTTTAAATCAGTTTCACAAGTAATTTGGGAAAAAAAAAAAAAAAAAAAAGTCCTTTATTCTCTCCTTACATACGGATGTCCCGGAAAAAACATTGCTAAATTGCATTCGGCAGTGGTCAAAATGGATATTTTCGTTGGAATGTGGTACTCGGAAATTTTCATGATTATACAATACTTCCTTTACTTTGTACAAAGTAAAAAAAAAAAAAAAAAAAAAGAAGAGTGAGGGTTATTTTTTCCCTTTAAATATACAAGTTTTAAAATTTTGCTTGGGAGAGTTGTATGTATGAATACTTATTCTTTCAGTAAGTATGTTCACCTTACTTGCATATCTGATTTGATTGAGTGCACTTTGTGTATCAAATTAATCATGAGGTAAAAACATGGGTTTGTATGCAAAATGTCTAAGACTGAACTGTGCCTCAGATACTACTTCAAAAACTCATTAGTGATTTATTAGTCATTTGTTCATTAACATTATTACATTGATATTTTGCATTATTCAGAAATCTTTTTGTGAAACTTTTTAAAAGGGTCTAAATACTTGGCAATAAAAATTTACGAATGTGTAATTTTCTGTTACTTCTAATACAAGTTTTCAATTTGCCTTCTGATCAAGCATGAAAATTTCCCTAATTCTCTTCTTTGCTTCATTTTTAAATGGTATTTATCTCAATACTGCTATTTAAGTTTAATGGAAATTCTAGGTTCTTCTTTTTGTGCTAATAAAAATGTATTAATTGAAGGTTTATAACTATATTTAGAAACATTTTATTCCATGAAATGTTTTGATGACAATATCAGATATGCAAACAAAACATGAATTTTTACTAATATGCAACATCCTTAGTAATGCAAAATGCATGAAAGAAAAGAGAAAACAAAATCTCTCTTTAGGATATGTTTGAAACAAATATGATTACATAATTTAATTAAAAAACCAAATTATACTTACCCACGAAGAGAATGAAAGACTTGGTTTATCTCCCCCTCTCCCCCAAAAAAACCCGAATAACTTCCACCCCACAGAAGAACCCTGCTTACTTTTATTCAGAAATAATATGAAAGTCGAAAATATTTTTCTTCTTTTCTTAAATAATACTTCTCATCAGCAACTCGTAAACAAATCTTTTATATAAATAGAAAAGTACAAAAATGCTAAGAAATCAAATGACGCATCTAAATGCACCACTTTCAAGACTACCTAGCTCTATGCAAAACTACAAGGATGATAAATAAAAGACCTTATGTAAGCATCATCAGTGCATGAAATAAAAAATCATGATCAATGCAAACAATTTTTATTTTGTCAGAAATATACCTTCCTTTGGCATCTCAACAAAGCTGAATGCTATACGTCGTAACTCTCACTACAGTCACGTTAGTCTATTTAACTGCTTTGTTTATATTTCAATAAATGATCTAAATCCATATTTTAAGGTTCAGTTATTTGAATCATAATACAAAACATTTTCCTTTAAGCAGAATTCTCTAATAACTGGACATGTATTCAGTTCTAAAAAGTAATAAGCAGCATTAGTATGAAAAATGCTGTAACTGGTAAGTGTTGCAGAACCAATTAAATAATTTTTGGGGAAGCTACTGGAACTTAAATAATGGGTTATTCCATCATTAAAACTTAGAAGTGTAGGGTACACAGCTTAATACAACAAGCTAATTACTTCACAGATAAGGAGAAAGGCAATGCAAACACTGGGAAATTTATTACATTTCGACCAAGATAATATTTTTCAGCTTTATTTTTCTTACCACTTCTTCTTAGCACAGAGGGAATTTTATCTTCAGAGTTACCAAGAAGCAAAAGTTAGGTATATAAAAATAATTAAAAATAAACTTTCTTATGAGACAACTTAGAGAAAATGATACAAAACACCAATCTGGAAATTAAAACAATTTATTATATAATAAATTCAGCCAAATGCTTCTTGCTTATTGGTATGGAAGTATTTACTATGTGTAAAGTAATTTCATATTTGCCATTTACATAAATATCAAGTCAAAATGGGTGTATGTATGCAACTTCCCCCCCCAAGTAGTCAATCATTCATCCATAATTCACAAAACGAAAAGTGTAACACTGTACAAATGAAAATAGGATTAGGTGATAATTTCAAATAAAAGACAAAACCCATACCATTAATATTGAAAAACATTGCTAAACGTTTTAAAATACGAATATTTTTCTACAATGAAATAAAAGCAACAAGAAAATTTCAAATTAACATTTTGCTTATATTTATCACAAACACTAAATGCTTGACTGTTTACAGGCCAAAATATTTTTGACATCTATTAAAGCATATAAAATTCTGTTGGTAGAAACACCAATTTCATCACGGTATAAAATTTTCAAACTAACCCAGTTCACAGTAAATATGAGCATAATTATGAAACAAATAACTAACAAAAATATACACTTAAGTTATGACATGCTGATTTGTTTACAAATCAATATTTTAGGGACTAATGAAAAGTTTTAAGAACAGCAGATACAAAGTTTTTTAAACTGAAGAAAAATTAACCAATTAAATAATAAATAAATTTAAGGTACATAAATTCTGAGAAATCACCAGCCAAATGATAACAGACTTTATTTAAAAAGGACACTAACAGTTTAATTATAATTTAAGCAAAACTGCAGATGCATGTGTATTAATATTTCAAATGTAGAACTGATGTATATTTTAAAGTTACTTTATGGGAAAGAAACGGTTGCAAATTAAGTTCTATTAAAAGTGTTTAGAAAGCAGTAACTATGTTGCAACATAAACTGTGAAGAAACTACAAAACTTCTGTCAGAATCATTTGTTTTTCAAATCAGGGAAAACATTACACCAACATATAAGCCATCGGATTGAAACGGACAACTCTCCATATGGCAAATGAATTTAAACAGTTGACCACGAAACCAAAGTTCATTCTGAAGTTACACAGGCTTGTTACACTGATTCTCAGTCATGTTAATATTGACAAAGTTTCTTTTTAAAGCATTCTCTGAAAATATTTAAATACTGAATAGAAGCTGCAACAGAAGTCAAGAAGAGTTCTTCAGGTTTAAATAATAAAATCAAGGGCTTCAATATGATACAGCAATCTTGAAAACATTGTCACATCCATGAAAGCTAGGATTTGTCAGTCAATAGAGTTCATGCTAAAGAAGTACAAGCAAATTGATTTGTGCAACACCATTAAGCAGTGATTTACATTTAGCAATGATTTTCAGTTATTGCAGAGAATATGCTCTATCACAAACCAAAAATCTGTTCTTAATAATCAACACCCTAACTGTTCCATGATTATGCATTATTTCTTTGGTACTTGGTAACATGCACACCAAAATTGAGATGATTTCAAAAGTAATTAATCATAGAAACTGACCAATCTTTTTTCTTTTATTTTTTAAGTAAAAAAATAATCACAAATATGCCCCACACTATAGCTGTGTTGTTAATTTAATATGACAAGTTTAGAAAAGCACTGCAACCCTATTTTTTTTTTTTTTTTAATTATGCAGGGTAACTTCTCACATAATATGAGCAGCTAAGTTCAATTTGCTTCACTATCATCTGTCTCATACTATACCTCTGCAGTGCAGGAGATATAAACTAGCATCTATTTTTTGTTGTTGGAAATCTGCTTTCTATATTCAATATATACACACTGTACTGTTGCTGCTTAGATGAAGCAAACAATACAGTAGTTAGGTTACCATGCATATCTCCATTCAATATTTTCATTCTTATTAACATTTATTTTATAATTCCACATACACACAAATTACACTTTCAAAATGTTGTTTTTTCCCTTATGTAAGTACATGTTATGGGGGAAATCCCCAGCAGGAAAAAAAAGGAAAAAAAAAAAAAAATTTTTTTTTGTGGACCCTCCACACTGCTGGAGTATAAATACTTATATAAAGTAAGAGATACCTCTAAAATTATAACAGCTTGTTAGGAAACTAAATCACACACAAACTTATTTGCTTGTTAATAATAAGACCTCATATTTGGAAAAATACCAAGTGGGGAAAGAAAAGAATATGCAGTTTTGTATATAAATTTTGGTAAAGATTTCTGCTTAAGTTACACATGAAAAAGCTGCAACAGAAAATTGTTACAGTTGTTTGTTTCCACAACCTAGAACTCTCTTATCATACAAGCATGACAAGTTTAAATGTGTCTTCATAGATATTTCAATAATTCACAAAAAGATATCCCCACACTGAATTAAGGCAATATAGTATCACATAAGGGTCTCTAAAACCCTAAAAGGGGGAAAAGAATGAAGTCCGACACAGACGCAAAACAATAACAAATTTACATTTTACAGTCTTCATTAGTTTGGCTTCCATACTTTTGATTTTATAATATGCCGATGCAACAAATGCATAATAAATTTGGACTAGAAATTATAACACAAATGTAAGCAGGCGGCATATTTTATGTAAATAGCCGCAAGATGATTAAGATTTATCTTCCATATACTGCTAATAACTTGCATATTTCATTATTTTGTTGAAAGAACATGGATGTCACATTAAATGAACTTTCTAATGCACACAATAACAAAACTCAACATCTGATAAAGATATGTGCCAAAAAATTAATATACCAATTAAATTCTGTGTCAAACATTGGTATACTGCAATTCTTTTCAAGCAGTGCTTTGACTATTTTCACGCAGCACCACTTACATTAATGGAAGCTCCTGCCATTGAACTTAAGATTGACGAGTATTCTTCAGTTTTCATAATTATTTGCATCACAAGACCCATGGCATAGTAAATGCTACTCCCTAGCTTGTGTCCATGCTACAATAATCTCATCAAGTATCTTACATGGAGGCACCTGATAAGGAAAATAATTTCTCCCAAAGCTGTATTTACATTTGCATTGACACACTGTTGGGCTTTGCTTGCAACCAAAGGTAGCACCTTGACAACCTTCTCATTCTGAAAGAAATATTTAATTTTTCTAATCAGTGCTGAGATGGTCATCAATTTTAACTACAAATACAGGGCCAACAGCTGTGAAGCAAATATTCCCACAGGAAGTTAAATAGCAAGCTATGTAATTCACTTGTGAGGCAATATAGTTTGTAATATATCTCCAGTCTGAAACTTGACAGAAACCAAATCACAATTATTTTGCATAATAGGTAAAACCCTCAGAATGCTTATGGGTTATAATGGCAACTTCATTGCCCAGTAGCTGGAAGAGATATGGTTCGGGCAGGTTTTCTTCGTTCACGCCATTCTTTTGGGCCAGGACGGGGTTCAACTATTCGTCCCCTTGGAAATTCTCTAAAGGGTCCCCCTGGAAGGAATTTTATGCATTTTAAATATTAGGAAATGAAATGAAAACAAACAATACATAATTAGCTGCTAGGAAAATACAGACACAAACAATTCAGCATTTAACTGCCTGCATAATTAATGAACATTTCCTTTTAACAAACAACTGGATTAGACATTAAAATTTTTAGTTTTATAGAAAAAATTTACGTACAACAGTACTTACACATTACTTTCTTTTATCAATATTTGCAATATATAATTTCAGTAAAAAAATTAGTTAACAATATTTAAATTGCTATAGCAATTCCATAAAATGAAAGCTTTTTTTTTTTAAACTGTAATAACTGAATCAATGACAGATTAAAATCTACTTCATAGCACTAACCGCTTTAACTTGGCATTACATTTCTATACGTTTAACAACAAATAAATTACTAAATATTTTTTAAATGAATTACTACTACATTTAATAAACAATCTGCACATAAACCACTATAAAATTTACTTAATCAAGAACATAAAACTGCTACATATACATATATATATATTTGTATACAATTGCATACAAAGAATATATATTTTGCAGAAGATAAGAACTCTTCTGTACAAAAGTGCATCAAAATACTTTTGAGTTGTGCATACACTGTATAAACTGAAAAGTATTAAAAAAAAAAAAAAAAAAAAAAAAAAAAAAAAAAAAAAAAAAGACAGACATCAAAATATGCAACAAAAATAGACTTATCTAAAATGAAACATCTACATATATTAAGGATATATATTTGCTACAAAAAGGAGAGCTTTGATATGCATTTCAAAATTAAACATGTTCAGTGTGATGTTTACAGTATCCTATCAAATCTTATGTAACACATTCAGCATTCAAGTTAAGGCTGAACAATTTTCCACTAAAACAAAATAGAAATTTCAGTGCTGTTTTTAGAAGATGAAATGTTCCTTAATTTATAGTGAATATGTGAAAAGCCATGGGACATTTTTCAAACCCAGCAGTACCAACAAAAAAGCATTAAGTGGTGCTAATTTTAAATTCAGCTAATATATTTACTTCTTTATATCAGATGATTTAGGTTAATAAATAACAGTAAAGCATTGAGGTTATATACTTAAGAAAAGATATATTCGAAGTCTCTACAAATGGATATTAGTTAAACTACACCTTTAAAAAATATAAGGAGGAGAGAAAGCAAGCAGCTATTCAGTTTATTGAAGAATGGTAACAGCTAGACATTACTGTACACCACACAGTTATCTACCCAACAATGTTTTTAACTGATTTAGCTTAACCAGATTACCACATTTAAGCTAAACAATTTTCAAGACTTAATTGATGAGTTACTATTTGACTGAAAGTCTTTCAAGCCAGCTTTCGTTTCTACAATTTTATTACCAGTGTGTCAACTGAAATAAAACAATGATATTCTGGGATTTTATACAGCATAACAATAAAAGATCTTAACTTTAATGTTTTATTTCTTCAGTAATAAAACATTTATTATTCAACACTTCAATCAATCCTTAGACATCAATATTATCTTCATAATTTTCAAATATTTGTAAATTTGGACCTCTTCAAACAATCTCCCAAAATGAAGGACTTCACAGCTTTGGATATTCTTTTGAGTATTTTATCTGTGATGATTTTTGAACAGAGAGATAAGATTGCAATAATCAGCAGAACATTATTATTCTTCCACCTTTGTTATCTGAATTAAAAAGGCAGCATTAGTAACAATACAATCATGTAACTAACCATCCTGAAACACCGCAATTTTTTTAACCACAGCTTCCATTTTAACCTAAGATTTCAGTTTCATTAAGTATTTCATCCATTTAGTCATTCAGTGCTGAAAATGTCCTTACCATTTCATATTTTATCTCAGAAGATGTGTAATCTAGCATTAGTAAACTAATCATAAGTGTAAAAAGATGGGTGCTTATTTGTAGGGAATGGAATATTATAAATTGAAAAGAACTCTGCCACTGTTAAACTGAAAATCTTACATACTGGGCTGACATACACCAGACATTTCTTCAACAGGTTTTGTATCTTAACAAATGCAGAATAATAACTCTCTAAACAACTAGGTCCTTCTATGTCAGGGGATTATCTTCTGCTTATTTTAATGACTATCAGTATTACTCTTTTTGTTTTGTTTGCGGTGAACGTTTGACAAGCTCTACAAAAATTTTTTTCAGGGTTCAAAGCCACATTTTAGTAAAAAAAATTAGCACATATAAGCACTTTTCAAGCACATTTTAAGAAAAAAAAAAATAAGCACCTGTCTAAATACATTATACACAACTGCATAACCTTAAAAGAAAAATTAGAGTTGCAATTTAAAATATGAACAAGGCAATATTTATTAAGAGAATGAGCATTACCTCAACCATGAAAAACAATTAACCTTTTTTTTTTTTAAATTTTAAATGACAGTTCAATTTACAGAATTAGTTTACAATGAGAGAATAAAAAACTATGCAGAACTAAATTATATTACAAGATTTAATGATGAAATTTAAGTTCAAAATATAGAAAATAAATAATAATAAGCCATATTTAATTGTATTCGCTTGGCACCTAATAATAAATACAACTTATTTTTCCACTCATATTAATATTTAAATAATTTAACTTAAATCAAAATTCTGAACACTTTTCTAAATTTTCAATTGCATAATAGTTTTCCCCCTTAACATATATTCCAAGCAAAGTAATTTAAAAAAAGAGGAACAGTTCTGAAATCAGGAGACGGGAAATTGCTTCATGCAGTCATCCTTTAATAGTAAAAGCTTAACTAACCCGCATACTCGGAAATTGACGAATATTCCGTATAGTCGATCGTAACTGGAAAAAGAGGAGGGGGGGGGGAGAGATTGTAGCCGTTCTTTAGATTTTTCGGCTAAATAAATGATTTTGACATTTCGATATGTGCATCATATAAAAATAGACCAACGGAACTGAGAAATATTCTTGCTTAGAAAGAACAGTAAAACTCTTTTTAAGTGTTCATAAATAAATCTCAGACTGAATATCAAAATTAATTATCTCTTCAAAATACCGCAAACGTTATTGCGCAATACGTGCGACGTAATTCTTCCATACGTGATATTATGCAATCGGAATTAACAGCTGCGGGTATTCGGAAAATAAAGATCTAAATAAAGGAAATGAAAGAAACTTACTAATCTGGGGTGTTTTTCATTCTAATTTTGAACAGGCCGCTAAATTTCCGAAATAGAATCATTCTTCGCTTGGGTTGAGTAGACCGCAAAACTTTTAGTCCTATTCAATGCAGATTGGACAGTGACCCCCCCAAAAAAAGACCGCTGCTTCAATATTACAGATTTTGCGGAGAAAGGGGAGAACCTCCCAACCTTCGTACTGTATAATGTATTGGCAAAAAAGAAAAGAAATTATTCTGACTATTTGATTACTTTCCTTTTATTTAAGCCATTCCGAATATTATTCCTTAGAAAGCTAATCTGTGTGAAAATAAACCCATTTTTGGAAGTTTATCTACACTTCAGCAGCTACTGCTACTATATTATTATAAATATTCATACATATGCTCATAATATAAAGCATAACGATCATAATAAACATGAATATGAACTGACCACGAGGAACGAGAATGTAAATTATTAAAATCTTGATAGAAATTCAAACGTGTGTAGTATTTGGGTGGGAGGAAAAAGAATACCGAATGTACCGGAATTTTCTACGGTTTTTCACAATTCTTTGACCAATAGAACGACTTGCACCTGTCTGTACTCTCGCGAGCACCATAGGTTACGTTAATGCAGAGAAAGGGGAAAAAGCTATTTCCCGGAGTATGATTCACCATCTGACGTTCCATATATATAAGGAAGAAAAGTTCTTTATTTAGTTTCGACTTTGGTACCGGGGGGGGATGCGTGTTCATTAAAACAAGCACTAAAAGCAAAAAATAAGCACACACACACACACACACACACACACAAAAAAAAAAAAAAAAAAAAAAAAAGGGCTTTAAAGAAAAAGTAAGCACCTATAAGGGCCTTTATATTTTATTTTCAAATATAAGGACTTGTAAGCACTTGTAAGGACCGCTACAAACCCTGTTTTTTCATCAACTTCTCACAGCACATAAAAAAACTAAATCCTGTCACTTCACTAATAAATGTCACTGGATTCAGATTTTTTTAAAAATTGCAGAAATTTCAGAATGGATATTAACAGCAAATTGTTTCAGTAGATGATATCCCTATACTATTACCAGTAATACATCACTTGAAATTTAAGCTGCAAAATCATTGGGGGGGGCAGGTGCAAGATGAAGATGATTCCCCAAAGCAAAAATTTTTATGATGAAGCTTTACATTGCAACCCATTTTTACAGAAAAAGTTATTGAAGCATTTAAGATACTCTGCAAATATTTGTGAACTTAACAAGAAATGATTTTCCACTTGGTAACCTGATCTCAAACTACAAATGTTTACCATAAGAAATGATTTGTGAACTTCATATGATAAATTTTATTTTGATGCTCGATTTTTCACACCCTTTTTTTGCTGATGGCAATATATTACTCCTCCCTTCATTTATTTTGTCCAAACTCAAAAGAAGGAAGTGGCTATTTTTTCCTTATAGTGAAAACTTCCAGTAGCTTGCCAAGCAGAAAGTTTTTGTCTTGTAATGTTCAGAATTAAAATATCTTAAAACACTTCAACAATCTTTCCATTACAATGTGTTGCGAAGGAATGCTCAATTATAAAAATTCATTTCGCTTGGGAAAAACTCATCTCCATCTTGGGGAAAAAAAAAAAAAACCCACCATAAACTAACTGTAATTTCAAATTATACATAACTTATAACAGTATAGAGGCACCATCTACTGAAACAATTTGCCATTAATACCCATTTAGTAATTCTAGAAATATTTAAAGTTTGATGTGTATGACTTTTTGATCACTCATTATAAAACATTAAATTTTTAATATACACATGGCATGAATAACTTACGAGTGGATGCTTGTTTGTTCTGAGCGACCATTTCTTGTTGCCTATGATGACGAACCATAGCCTCTTGCCTTTCTTTTTCTTTTAACTCTTGTGCAAGTTTTTCCACCTTTTCTTTGGCACGCATAGCCACTTCAGAATAAGTTAACTTTCTAAAGGGTTTTTCATCCTGTAAAAACATTTTAATAAAAGGGAAAAAATTAAAAACTGCAAGAAATAAAATCCTTTTTTTTTTAATCACAAAAATTTACCCTTCTTAATCCTATCAGCATTATGGACATAAAATTCCATATAGAAATGAAGCTTTCACATTGGATGTATATTGTAAGAAAAGAAATCAAGGTACGAAGTGCGAGAGTCCTTTTTAATCAGAATCAAGAAAATACCATTTATTCATAACATTTTGAGGAACTTTGAAATTTCACGGTGCTTGGAGGGTTAATAATTTGTCAAATTATTACTTTTCCAATTTCAATTCCAACATCAAGAAGAATCTATTATGATAACTGGAAAAACATTTTTAACCCCCCCAAATCCAACCATATATTGTAATTACTATCACTGCTCTCAAGGTGAATATATACAAAGCATACCTGTTAACAGTAAAAGTGTAAAGTGATTTTAACATCATACCTGCCAAACTCTAAAGATAAAAATTCAGAAGAACACAAAGAATTAATATCATGCTTTGATATTAAAAAAATAACAATTTATACAAATATAAAAAAGAAAATTGTACTTACATTAGTAAATCTCAATTAAGTAGTAACTAAAAAATTTATTAGGAAACATAAAACAAGAACTTAATGTTACACAAAAAAATTATTGCAATGAATTTAGAGTGCATTTTTTGGCTTTAGCCAAAAATTCTTTGGAAAATTTCCTGTCATAACAATTAGTTTCCTCATAACATTTAGCAATTAAAATGTTTTCTAGAGTTTTTGGTGAAATTGAAGAACGAAACATAGTTTTGTTTTTCTTCACAACACTGAAGACTCTCTCGCACTCAGCATTACTGTGTGGAATTACGAGAATAGCACATAAAACTCTTGCTAGTCTATCATATTTTGGTGTTCCATCAGCTCTTTTTATTCTTTTTAAGGTACCAACGAGGACATCAAGTCTATCTTCTCCAGAACTGGCAAAGTCTTCAAACTGTGCAGCAGAAAATTGGTTCTGTAGTTCATCTAAAGCATCATTATGGCATTCATTTTCTTTAATTGTTAACAAAAATGGAAATTTATCAATAAAAAAACGAATCTTTTCAAAAGATGAATTTTCAATTTGTTTCAAATTTGCCACTTCAGCATTTAAAAGAACTTCATTTTGCAAAGGAAACTTCCTTACAATGTAATCACAGGCTGAGGAAAAGTACTTTCTAACACATTGAAAAAATTCTTTTTTCTCATGATCTTTCAAAGAATTTACAAGTTCCCTGGTTTGATTTCCAATTATAAGATCATTGTCATCCTCTTGATTTGCCAAACTATTATAGGCAATACGAATCAAAACACTGTTTTTCACAACGGACGGTTTTACAAATTTAGTATAAAGTTCTTTTAAAAGATCATTAATAATTTGGATAATAAGCAGGGGAGATTTTGGCGAAGCTGATTGTAGAAGGGTATTTACACTTTCAAAAATCTTAATGGTACTTAACACAAAACTACAATATGCTTTGTTCAAATCCGAAGAAACAAGATAGAAAATCCTTTCCTCCCGGCTAATAGAAGACTGTTTCTTCTTCCCTTCAACTTCTTTAACAAAGTTGACCTTTGAGGAGTCTCTTAAGCATTTTTTTTTTTTTTTAAAGGGTTTGATTCTGTGTGTTGGCTTTTCCCTTTTAAAGCATTTTGATTAGAAGCAAAGTTGGTTTTCGGAATCTTACATGGCGACAAATTTGATGGGATCTGTGGTTTCGTTTTGGTCTCTTCGTGGAAATATTTTAGCAATGCATCCCACTGTTCAATAAACCTTCCTAGCGCTCTGCCTAAGGATAACCATCTCATGCATACGTGTTTCAGAATTTTTCTCGTTTCACCAGAGCACAGTTCTTGGAAATTCTTTAGGTTTTCTTTTCTTTTTTACACTTTTTTCCAGATAGAAAAACACATGAATCAGAAGCTGGTCAATATTTATTGGTAAAGCAGCTGCAGCTTTTTCTGCTGCCAAATTAATTAAGGGGCATGGGCATCCAATAACAATTAATTCATTTTGTTCTTTTTTGAGGAAAGAGGCTACACCCTTTTTGTCACCCACCATGACATGAGCATTATCTGCACCAAATGAAATGCAGTTTGATATTGGGATGTTAAGTTGTTTCAACTCATTAATTACCAAGGAGGCAATATTTTCCCCCGTAGCGTCTCCATTTAACAATGGAAGACGCAAAAGATGAGTTTTCATTTCATTAGAAACATCACAGAAATATGTGACAACGATGGGGTAAAGCTTCCAATCGCTGTCGTTGCTGCCATCGATTGACACCGAAAATGCTGAATTCTGGAGTGCAGCTATCGTTTTACTTTGTGCATCGCAAGCAATTTCGTTCACAATAGAAGATGTTTTCGTGCGAGCACAAGCATATTTCTGAGCAATCTTGGAGTCGGGAAACATCCGTCTGAAAAGTTGACCGGCGTGATCGGCAGCGCTTAGCGGCACGTTGTGTTCGATGAGGAATGCAGTAAACAAACACTCTGCCAAAATGACATCGGCATCCGAATTCGTAGCCGAAATTTGAAAAAAAAAAAAATCATCCACTTTCTTTGACGTTGTCGAAGCCGAAGCATTAACTTCATGCTTTTTAGACTTAACATGCTTCACAATGTCGCTTCTTCCACCGTGACTTATTATGAAGTCACACACGCACACGTTGCAAAATGCATAGTTATTTCCTTTGAAGGATTCTTTAATTGTTGGAAATTCGGCTTTGTAGGCAGGCCGAAAATATTGAGAATACGGTTTTTTTGAACTCATTTCGTAACAACGACATATTAAGAAAATTCGTAGCACGTGCAAAAAAAAAAAAAAAAAAGAATGCGACAATCCACGCTCGCTGAGTAATTTCCTTGCTGCTGAAGTGAACGTGAAAAAAATAATCTGGCTCCCACAAAGAAAAGAGTGGGAGAAACTTGGGGGGGGGGGGGGGATTGGAGTTGGGAGCGCGCATTGGATTGGCTGATTAAGCGGCGAGTTGGGAGAAACCGCAGGTTACTGGATTTAGTGTAGTCGGTAGTTGGTGGTAAAACACGATGCAATTGGCGAAAAATTCTAAAATTTCGACAAAAATCACTAAAAACACTTGAAATAGGAAAAAAATAGTAAAAAATGGATTACGATCGTAAAATCGTAAAGACAAACGCATTTTCGTAAAAGTTACGAAAAATTAGTAAAAGTTGGCAGGTATGTAACATAGAAAACTAACATGGGCCTGAATATTTCAGAGCAGGTTCTTTAGTAAAAAACATTTATCATAAAAAAAATCAGACAATCGAAATTCATGAAAAAATAACGACTAACTTTTTTACCATCCTAAAAAGCAAGTGCGAAATTGCTTTATAACATTACTTATTTTATTTATATTTTAAAAGTTAATAGAATATAAGGTGAAGTCATTTCTTAAAGGGGGAATCTAAATATTTTAGTTGAATGCTGTGCAAATTTAATATATTATTTTAATGACACCACCAATGATCTTGTATTTATTAAAATAGATCTTATAAATTCACTAATCTACAGATAAAAATTTTGGTACTATTCCGTTTTGAGGGCCGTAAAAAATCGCCAAACTATTGTTGATGCCAGTGCTGCCAAAAATAATTGCGGCAATCCTAATGCAAGCAAGGAAGCATAATAGTAAATAACTATATAAGATCGATGTTTTAACTTAGATGAAAGGTTAATTTCATATAATATATTTTTTATTAATTTATATAAAAAAGGCTAAACATGACTGAATGGAAGCATAATAGTAAATAACTATTTCAGATCATTATTATAATTTATATAAAAATTGCTAAACATAACGAAATGGATGCCTGCATCGCTATTTTGCTACCGAATTATCGTTAAAGCATAATTTCATCTCGTTAGTTGTTCAAACATAATTTTCTGTAATGAATGATGCCTTTTCTTTGAAAAAATTCTCGGTAAAGTGCAGAATCGTCCACTTATTTGTTTGCCGTTTTTTACAAGGGTAAAAACAATTAGATTTTTGTCTTTCTTTTACTTTTTAAGTGAAAATAGGTCGATGTGTACATAGATAAGTCAAGGGTGTACGCAGTGCCATTTTTGTGCAATTTTGGGATTTTTTTAAAAGTGAAAATAGGTCGATGTGTACATGTATACTGAGTAAAGTGCAGAAGCACTTTACCCAAAATTCTATTGCAGACTTTCATCATGAGCAATTCCCAAATTGTTAAATCCATACGATAGCAAAAAAGGATTTAAAAATTAAACTAGTATTTCAATGGCATCTGAAGAAATATAGAACTGTATAAACTTACACAATCTGAAATCAGTGCGTACGCTAGATTTGGCGTTTTTTTCGCATACATTTTCGCTGCAATTTTTTTACGGTCCTCAAAACGGAATAGTACCAAAATTTCTGTAGACAAATTAATTTTAAACTTCCCGAACTTATATGTATATAAAAGTTTGGGACCATAGCCAAACTTATATACAGTCAAAAGTCTTTAATCCGGACTCGTCGGGACTTCGGCGATTCCGGATTATCGATTTTTCCGGATTATAGATCATCAGTTTAAATCTGGTAAGATGGCATACAGAAATTATAAAATTAAAAATATGAAACCATAATTTATAAAATAATGAGCAATTATGATCTAAAAGCTATCAAAATTTACCAAAAAAGAAGCCTAATATTTATTTGTTTACTTTATTAAACATTTCTTTCAACGCGCGGATGCGTAAAGCATACCTTACGCATAGCCGAAATTAGAAAATTGCAACAAGAAAACTATTTGATTTGTATTCGTGATATTTATAATGACGAGGAATTTGATTTAAATCATATAAAGACGGAGTACATCGAAATTAAATACTACATTTAGTAAGGAATTATAAGCCGAATAAAATAAAAACATCTGCCCTGAAGATAACGATACTGTTGACAGATCAACTTCCAGTTCATTGCGCGACGTCCCCCCCCCGCGCAGAGCAGCGTGAAATTGATAAACAGATTTCCGAACGGTTAGATAAACAAAAGATATGCTTTTATCCATTTTTTGTAGCAATTCGTTTTTTTGTTTGATGGACATCAAAACATACTTTCGTTTTTTAGATCCTTAGGGAGCTCCAGCATCGGAAATTCTATTTGACATAATCAAAAGTTCAAGTTTACTTTTAGAAAATTGCTCTTACAGTCTGGAAAAAATAATAAGACGGATCCAATTCGAAGATTAAGGAACAACGCAATTATCAACATTAACTGAAATAGGTAATTAGATAATTTTAGCATATACCGTTTGTTATACATTAAACGCGCACGCGAAAACGTATTCTGCACTTGCGCAGACGCATATGCGCAGTCATAAATGTCTTGCGCGCACGAGTAAAACGCCTATGCGCATGCGCAGAAAGATTTTAGCTTTGAGGTCCGGATTATAGATCATTCCGGATTACGGGTGTCCGAATTAACGACTTTTGACTGTATATATATAAGCATAGCATATATATATGTATATAAGCATAGCATATATATATGTATATATAAGTTTATATAGCAGAATTCAAATTCCAAACAGTGAACTTATTTTTGACATAAATAAATAAAAATTCAAACAGTCACTTGAATTTCTGCCAATAAAAATACACAATTCTCTAATTCGCAAAATAAGCCTAATATGTACGTACATGAAGATGAAGATATTAGGCAAGATATTTACACAATTTTTAGAAGCTTTGCAAAATTCATAAAAAATGGAAGTTGCACCCCAGATCACATTACCAGAACAGTTTTCATTTTTAAATACACATATACACACAACAAAAAGAAGTTAGTTGAGATGATTTTATAGTTAATATTTGCTAATACTTAATTTTGGGGAAGGGAAGCGGCAAGTTCTTTAGCTTAAGCTTCAGTAAAATGCTTACTTTCATTCGTTCTGATTATTTTTTTAAATAGAATAATCTTAAATAAGTAAATATGAAGCAATTTAATTACTGAAATAAATAATGCCAAACAGTTAACAGTTCAGGCATCAAACAGCCAAACAGTTTAGGCACTATTAATAGTTTATAAAAAAGCAACATTTACCTTTAGAACAAGAAATGAAAATTACTTATTTTTAACTATGATACGGATATAGTATACAACTGCAGCAAATACAGAAATTGAACAGATCATTTTAGAATGCATTTGATGAATTTGGAATATAGTTCCTGCTTAGTGACTTAATACCACAATGAAATAAGAAAATTAAATGAATGGTCTGCAAGAGCAGTTTTCCAAATGCATCATGATACAACTTTTCTACTGTCTTTCTTCCCCTGCATTAAAAAAAAAAAAAAAAAAGCTTTCAGATTTTACATTACACCAAAAGGGGCGGACTTTTTATAACATTTTGTGTCTACCTTTATTTATTATTAAATATTATGTTCTTTGCATTTAAACCATAAAATTCAATTTAACAGCAATATCGCAAAATAGTTTTAAAATAGCATATCTTCAGAATTTTCAATACACACTCTCGCGCAATGTAGACAAAAATGTTTATTTCCTACTATTTGCAATGTTACTGCTACTAAATGTTTATTTGTGCTGCTACCTGCTTGCTTTGAAATCATTGAGTTTGTTAATAAAAAATTCGTTAAAGTTTTACAAAATACGAAATAGATAATAAAACAAATTCCAAATTTTGGCTTCCAGATGCACTAAATTCGCAGGAGTATTACATTATTCAAAATTTGATTTTTTTTTCACTATGCAAGAAACATATATATACATTCATGCAGATTCTTCTATTATTTAATTTCTTTAAATATAATGCACAGCTCTAATATCTGTTGGCAACAACTTGAAACACCATTTATAGTGAACCAATGCAAAATGCCAAACAAACTTAATAGCCCTTTTGGGATTTAAAAAAAAAAAATAAAATCTAGTGATTGAATTAAAACCAGAAAAATGTGTTGAGAACATTACCTCAAAAAGTTAAAGGTGATAAGGACAAATATATTTAAAAAGTTTTCCAATTATTTATCTGAACACTACAATTTAACTTATTTACTGAATAAAAATAATGAAGTTTTAGGGAAATCACTGAAAACCATTTTGCATTTTATACCAACTTGCAATAACAAAAATAAGATACATGATTGGATAAGTTAATACCTACTTTTTAAAAATTGTTTTTCTAAATGTGACAATTCTGCTTCATTTTCTTTTCAGAATTAGCCCTCTAAGAACCCTAACTAAAAAACTCTGTAGTTGCACAGGGTTTATTACTTTTAACTGTACATTAATTTCCTGTTTTACAGTGCTGTAGATTTCTGCTATTTTAAATAGAATGTAAATAAAAAGATGCTAATAATTTTTAAGTAATATGAAATATATATGGTAAGGGTTGGTTACTGAGCTGGTGTGGCAGAATTTTTAGAATTTAGAGCAGGTATTGGAAGCAGAATTTAGGATCCACAGATATTGCATCAGGTGGGAAAATGACTGGCGTCCGCCCTGTGTTTGATAAATTAAAGAGATATTAGATGAATCTTAAATTGCCAATTTTCAACTTCTTTATTAATAAAAAAAATTCCTTTCTATTTATAATGCCTGTCCATGTGATAAGATTAGAAACATTTTTGATATTCTTCATGCTTGTGTCTAATGAAAAGTAGAGAAAATAAACATGTTAAGAAAAAGATTCCAGTATCAGAAGTAAAACAATAAAATATCATGTTTTTATTGTTCTTCCAGATGTCCTCTAAAAAGTAAGAAGTTTATCGCAAATTTTCTGAAAAATACATCCATTGTGTGTTAATATCATGGAGCTATTTTTTTTTGTCACGTTTTTATGGAAGAATCATGGGTCACCAGAATCATGGGTCTATAAATCTTGACTTCAAATCCTAAAGAAAAATTACTCATACCATTTTTGTAATAGCAGCCAGAAATATTTTTGGGGAAAAAAAAATCAAAGTGTAAATTAACTTTATGGACAACTAAAAAGCATTACTTTTTTGGTATGCAGTTCCCTCTCGATGTCGTTAATTTTTTTTTTTTTTTTGAGGGGGGTTAACTTGAGATCTTTTTCTTGTACATTACTGTACAGTATCCATTATTTTACCACCAGTAATCAGACGTTAAATTTTCAGCAAAGAATCATGCTGAAACCTGAGCTTGTCCATATACAGCACAAATTTTATGAGCAGTAAATATGATTAGTATTTGGCTCCCTTTTCAAATAAAAGAGCACAATCTGACAAAAATGAACGCTCGTTTTTCCATTTTTAATAAAAAGAAAGAAAAAATATGCCATAAGAAATGCTAGAATTTTGCACCATAAACAGAAAAGACCATATTTAAATATCTGCTTCAATCTAACCATTCCTTATAAGGAATAACAAAATAATCAGAAGAAAATGCCTGTGGACTTTAAAAACCATACACACTAATGAGATACCTAACACAATCAATTCAAACATTAAAAATTACAGAAAAGAAAGAAAATTTCAGCTTAAGATGTCAAATACAGTCAAAAGTCATTAATTCGGACACCCATAATCCGGACCTCAAAGTTACAAACTTTCTGCGCATGTGTCACGTTGACGCATACCTTTACGGTAGCGAATATGTGTGTATGCATGCGCATAATACGTTTATGCATGCGTGTTTAATGTATAACGGACGGTATAAGCTAAGCTAAAATTATCTAATTATCTATTTTAGTTAATGTTGCAGATTGCATTGTTCTTTAATCTTCGAATTGGATCCGGCTTATTATTTTTTGCAGACTGTTAGAGCAATTTTATAAAAGTAAGCTTGAACTTTCGATTATGTCAAATATAATTTCCGATATATATTTATAATATGTAAAGGATCTACAAAACGAAAGTATGTTTGGAAGTCCATTAAAAAAAAAGTGGAATTGCTGCAAAAAATGAATAAAGGCATATCCTTCGTTTCTTTAACCAGGGGGGAGGGGGGACGTCGTGGCGCGCAATGAATTGGAAGTTGATCTGTCAGCACTATCCTTATCTTCAGGGCAGATGTTTTTATTTTATTCCGCTTATAATTCCTTACTAAATGTAGTATTTCATCTCGATGTACTCTGTCTTTGATATGATTTAAATCAAATTCCTCATCATTATTAATATCACCAATACACATCAAATAGTTTTCTGGTTGCAATTTTCTAATTTCGACTATGTGCAATGTATGCTTTATGCATGCGCGCGTTGAAAGAAATGTTTAATAAAGTAAACGAATAAATATAAAGCTTTTTTTTTTTTAATTTTGATACCCTTTAGGTCATAATTGCTTTTTATTTCATAAATTACGGTTTCATATTTTGAATTTTATAATTTCTGCATGCCATCTTACCGGATTTAAACTGATGATCTATAATCCGGAAAACCGATAGTCCAGAATCGCCAAAGTCCTGACGAGTCCGGATTAAAGACTTTTGACTGTATTTCACAATTTTTTTAACCCGATAAATGGTATGACTGTCTTACCTGATCATGGCATCTTTTCATTCTTGCCATATATCAGTCTGATAACTTAAAATATTTTGTTTTCTTACTTTCTTTAATAATGTAAATATATATCTTACTGGATCAAAGTTTATGAAAACAGATTAAAATAAATAATTGTACACATTTAGCTAGCAAATGCAATTTAAATATAAGATCTTCATGAGTAGATCCACAAAGACTTGCCACTTAGAGGGTTAAATACGAACAACTTTTAAAGAATAAACCACAGATAGAGTAATACTCACTTCACTGCTACCAGTAGATTCACTATCAACATGACCATTCACAGAGAGATGAGTTGCTTCAACTTCTAAGGCTTTAGCTTTATTAGAACTGGAATCAAGCACTCTTTTATTTTGACCTTGAAGAGGTTTATCTTTTGCAGGGAAAACATCTGTGTTTTTAGACATAACTTGCTGGTCAACAGTTTTTGAATTAGTTGATACTGAATCACTAACTCTTTCTTTATTTGAGGAACTATCAGCGTTTTTACTATTAGAAAATGAGGCCCTATGTTTGGGAATAACTGATGCTCTATCCTTGAATGCATCAAATTTGTTCTTTGCTGATGATGCATCAGGAGTTTTATTCTTTGGTGATGGCGTATCACATTGTCTATTTTTAGGTAATGATTCAAATTGCTTAGCTTTTGGCAATTTCACTACAGATGCCTGTTTATTTTCTATTACTTCACTAGGAACATTTGCAACAGTTTCAGGATCTGGCAAAACTGTGGTACCTGTGACAGTCTCTGTAACAGTAATTGAGCCATTCACCATAGAGTTTGTAGACACTTGATGAAAAGCAGGAGAGCTGCCGCCATTATATGTTGCTGGTACCTCAGGCACAACATTTATGGAGTTAATACTGGTGCTGCAATTTGTGTTATCCTTAGGGGAATCAACAAAGTCTTCCCATTCACTTCGTTCTAGGCAACTGTCTTCTACAGGCTCACTCACAGGTATAACTTCTTTTATTCTAAAAACAATAATTTTATTAAAACGTATAGGAACAATTTTTGAAAAAAACCTATCTCTACAGAGTTTTCTTACAGCTTTATACAGAGAAAGAATTGACAGATGCCATCGAAGGAAAAATGCTAATTTTTAAGGTGTTAAGAAAAAGGGTAAAGGCAGTGATTAACATAAAGCAGTACATAATCTAATACCATTGTGCTGCCATTTATTAGATACATATACTTAATTTAATGAAAATTTATTAAAAATAAAGCTACATTTTTAGTTTTTTTCCTCAGAACTCTTTATTTAGGACTGAAAAGCAATACTTCACACAGTATAAGTATACTTAAGAGACATAATAGGTATGGTGTTAATCCAAAGAAGGAAGAAGCCAGAGACAAAGCAAAAATCCGTAGTTACCAATATTTTTTTTTTGTTATTTTAATGATTTAACATTATATCATCTATCAATCATTACATTATCTAGAAAACCTTACTATCCCAAACTACAGCTACTTCAATTTAAGAAACACCAGATAAAAACACACCTTTAGATTAGCATAGTTTTAAAAACAATCTTAATTTGAAGAGTAACTGACAGACTCTTGAGGAATAAAAAATTCTACACTCCCCTTTTGAACAAGAATACTGAAAACATGCACTTTTAGCATCAGAAGTACAGCTTTCGAAATAATTTTTAATTGTCAAAAAATAACAATAATTTTCTAGGAAATGAATCAAATCATTACTAATCTTTACAATAATTAGCCTGGATATACTAGATTTGCTCACACTCCATACTTATAAAGGAGCTTATAGCAAACATACATGTGAAAGAGTATGGAAAACTGCACATCAAGATTCTCAAAAATAAGCATGAAAATCAAGGTTGGCTCTGATGAACATTCGTAATAATTCAAAACCCTCTTTTTGTTGTTAGTGGCTCACAAGCTACTTGGTAATATGTAGCATTATAAATGAAAGATGCTTAGTTGAATTCAGTTGCCAGTAACTGTTATCAAGCATTACAAAATCTTTCATTTCATTTTGGGAGACAATTTATTCATAGAAAAATATAGTTAAGGATGAAACTAAGTTATTTATTCATAACACTAGATATTAATTCACAATAGATGCAGTGTCTTGACAAACATTTTCAATGAAATAAAGAGATAAAAAGGCATTAAAATCTTTTCCAAAAACAGTCACAAATTACAAGATAATGCTTTTGTCAAGAGATTGAAATGAGATAACCGCATAGTGGCAATTACATGAAGTCTAATTAAAATTTATAGAAATAATGTCAACAAAACAGTTGCCCAACGTAAGAATTATAGCCCTTTTATTCATCTTGCTCTTTAACACTGTCTTATGTTCTTAATTCTGAGCTGAAACAAAAATACAACAGGTTTCTAAAGATACCTTCAACTTTAAGAAAGACAAAATACATTTCAATGAACCAATTCTGATTTTTTAATACCCACATTCAGATTTTTTTTACTTCCCCAAAACATAAAACTATTCTATATTTTAAACTTGTTCTAATCAATAATAATAATAATTAAAAAAAAAAAAAAAAAAAAACACTGAATCTGAATTTCTTACATTAGGAGTCATCAGAAAATATACAATTATTTTTATGAATGAATGCAAGTTCTTTACATAATCTAGGTTAACCCCTTAACTGCCATGGGCCTATATATATATGCTCTTCCAAAATACTACCATTTGCTTTGCGCTGCTACCCGTAAAATTATATTTGCAAAGCTTTGGAATGCAACACCATAATGACCTTGACACAGTATGCAAAGGAGTACTATTTCAGAGAAATGTGTGGGAAAAAGAAGGATGTGCCCAAAGCGGTGAAAGTAATGACTACGCGGTATTGGCTGGTGCTGTTTGAGTAAAACATATTTTTTTTTTATTCTGTGTCCTCCGTTTTTGTTTACTTTTTTGTAGTAGGTTCCAGGAATAAAGAAAGATATAATGGATGTTTCAAACCCATTTATCTTTTTTGAATTATTTTTTTGATGAACTGCTCGTGCTTCATATTGTTACTGAAACTAACCATTTTGTAGAAGAGTATATGAACCAACAGCTTGGCAAACGAAAGAAACAAGAACATTCAACCAGTTCAGAAGAAATATATTTTTTTTAGGCATACTGATTTCACAAGGTATAACACTGAAACCTGATATTACACTTTACTGGTCTAAAAATAAATTGATCGAAACTCCATTTTAGGGATCTTTTTAATTATAAAAACATCATTTTTATTACACTTTTACTCTAAACATTAAATTTTGTGCATTCATTTTTTCTTTTATTCTTTATTTTGAGAAAGTAAAACTTGCACTTATTTTACCTCTAATACATCACATAACTACGTGCGCCTGTGTGAAAAACCGCGGCACGGGGAAATGAATCTTGCACATTTTCCGCAGCAGTTAAGGGGTTAACAAAAAAAGTGGGCCACACAGATTTATAATTGGAAAAAGCATGTAGCTTAAGTAAGGATTTGCAAATGTTTTAAAATTTATGCTTCTGAGGTAAACTGAAGATAATATATTTTTATAAATTGCATACAAAAAGATTTTATATTTTTTCGGCGGGGGGGGGGGGGGGAACTATCTTCACATCTCAATTTTTTTAAAAGAACTGTAACTAAATTATATGAATTCACAGCTTAAAACACTTACACTTCTGGAGATGCAGGAGGTGTGAAGGCAGCATCTGTAGGGATGACAGTTTCCTCAATGGTAATAGTGGAACTATCCTTAGTAGTACATACAAGAGCAGATTCAGATGTCTGAGTTTTGGTATCCCTCGTGGCTGGTTTAACAGTTCCTTTAACAATGTCTGAAAGCCTACTTTCATATACGTCAACATCAATAATATCAGTTTCCTACAAAAAACGCAAAGGATCAGCTAATTAACTATTGTGATTAATAAACTGAATTAACTTAAAGCAATTACGAAATCTGAAATGACAAAAATTTATATAGATTTAAATATATGACAAATGACATACCAGGCAACCCGGAAGAGGAGGAAAAGAAGTAGTTTCCAAGTCAAATTTAGGTGATTCAGGTTTCGTATCACTTTCATTAAGTGACTTGTTAAATACACCATTTGAATTTTCGGGAAACTGAAAACAGAAGGGTTGATTAATAAATAATCACAACAAACAATGCAAAATTTAAAAGTAAAGAATAGAAAATAAAAGATAGAGGTATTCTGGATTAGCTATATTTGCATTCATGAAAGTAATATTTCTTTCACATGCATATTAGTGTTTATGTAATGAAGAGATGCATATGCTCTTATTTTAATTTTTAGAATAAAAAACTATAATATAATCTTAAATGTAATATATTAATATTTATGTCAATATATTAAGGTTACGTGAAAAATCTATACATAATATCGTGAAACATTTCGAAAATAAAATGCCAGCTATATTGCCTAGCCCTCAAAAAAGTTAAAATGGACTTTAAATAACAGATATAACAGCAGTTAAATACACTGGTCTTCAAAAATTAAGGAATAATCACAAAAATATCAAGAAATCGTTAAAAAATAAGCCAATCTGCATAAAACTCATATACATTGCCAAATAAAAGTTGCTGAGTAAAACTGCAATATGCAAATTAGTGGTGCTGTAATCAGAGAATACATCATCCGCAAGGGGCATAAAATCACATGTTTGAGGGTAAGCCTGTAAAATTTTCTGTGATATTGAGACTAGAAATCTGGGATTTCCAATATGCAACAATGATCTTCAGGCACCATTTGCATGAAGAACTCCTATGGAGAGTTATTCGGAGACTAGAGGCAAGGCAAAGTCGAGCAGAAGTGGCTAGATGGCTAAATAAGAGTCCTCCTGCAGTTCATAGATGTTGGCAACAATTTCTAACCACAGATTCGGCGTCCAGGAGGTTAATTGAAGGACATCCAACCATTATGACGAGTGCTGATGGCTGATATTTATTGCTATGTGCACGATGGAATAGAACTTCAACTTAGATCCTCCCTCGCTGCAGTACCAGAAGGTTGGTGTCATCGTGAATTATGCTTAGAAGGCTTGGCTTCATGAAGGAGGTTTGTATGCAAGACAACCAGACATGAGTGCATCTCAACATGTCCACTGCTCTTTGCAGACGAGTCCAAGTTTATTCTCCAAAGCCACAGTAGGTGTTATTTGATTTGGAGAAAATTTGGAACCTATTTACACTCATCAAACATCTGTGGACGAGATGGTTATGGAGGAGGCAATGTCTATGTTTGGGGTAGTATCTCTCCGAGTGGATGCAGAAACCTCCATGTCTTTCAGTGACAAACTGCGAATGCTCAGACTATACAGATGACAATCCTTGAAGCTTATGGGTGCCCTTATTTATGCCAGGGCAACAGATGATGATTTCATACTACAGGATAACACCAGACCACACAGGGATAGCATCGTGTTATCTTTCAAAGCAAACAATTCAGCACATGGAGTAACCAACTCGATCATTGAAACATGAATCATACTGAGCATGTTTGGGATTTTTTAGGAAGACATATAGCTGCTTTCAATCCTCCTTTTCAGATACTTGCCATGCTTGCAAGTACCTTGCCAGAACAATAGCTTTTACTTCCTTTGGAACTGAGAGACCGCATAACTGACAGCATTGTATGTGCTATATTGCTTCTAGAGGAGATCATACTCTACACTGAAAGTAATTTTCCTATAGCAAACTGACACATTCCATTTGTTCATTTTAAACATATGCTTAATTTCTACAAGATAAAAAGAAATTACCAGATAACCACCATAATTATCTGGTAATTTCTTTTTATGTTATTTTATGCCTTACTATATGTTTTATGTTGAGGGTCAATTTTATTAAATTTTACATGCAATATTTTTGGTAACCTTCATTTTTGCGATTTTTGCTTAATTAATGATACCAGCGTATATATACCTATCCAAATTATAAACAATCAAAATTAATGGAGGGAAAAAAAAAAAAAAAAAAAAAAGAAGACATCCAACTGAAATATACTTAACCCTTTAACTGCCCCGGGCGTATATATACGCCCATCCAAAATACTATCATTTGCTGCTACCTGTAAAATCATTCCCAAAGATTGCAACACCACAATGACCTTGACAAAGTATGCGAAGAAGGATACTATTTCAGAGGAGTGTGGGAAGAAATTGGAGACAGGGATGCGTCTAAAGCGGTGAAAATAATGACTGCGCAGTATTGGCTGGTGTTGTTTGAGTAAAACTTATTTTTTTTTTAAAATTCTGTGTCCTCCGTTTTCATTTACATTTTGTAGTAGGTTCCAAAAATGAAGAAGAATATAATGGATGTTTCAAACCCATTTACCTCTTTTGAATTATTTTTTGATCAACTGCTCGTGCTTCATATTGTTACTGAAACTAACCTTTTGTAGACGAGTATATAAACCAACAACTTGGCAAACAAACAAACAAACAAACAAACAAAAAAAAAAAAAAAAAAAAAAACAAGAACATTTAACCAGTTCAGAAGAAATATATGTTTTTTTAGGCATACTGATTTCACAAGGTTATAACACTGAAACCCGATATAACACTTTACTGGTCTAAAAATAAATTGATCGAAACTCCATTTTAGGTATCTTTTTAATTATACTTTTACTCTAAACATTAAATTTTGTACATTCATTTTTTTCTATTCTTTTTTATGTGAAAGTAAAACTTGCACTTATTTCCTCCCCCTAATACATCACATAAATATGCACGCCTGTGTGAAAAACCGTGGCACTGGGAAATGAATCTTGTGCATTTTCCGTGGCAGTTAAGGGGTTAACTATCAAAAGAAGTTACAATATATAAAGATTCATTTTCACTACTCAAGAAATATAAAAAGGCAAAATTGCTGTGATAGATTTGGAGATCATCTAAAATTTCACTGCTACAGTACATGGGTTGTAACCAGCGTTTTACACTGGGCTTCGCAATCTCACTACTGTCCACTAAGACATCACACAGCTATAGCCATTTAAGAAAATATATATATATATATATATATTTGACGACTACTTGGATGATAAACAAAAATTAGGTTTTTTTTTTTTTTTTTTTTTTTTCCCCAGATTTCATCAGCAGATTTAGCACGGACACTTGGTAGCTTATTTCCCCCCTTTTAAACTTCAAAGTGGTCTGACATCCAGTAATAAAAAATATGAGTGAACTTCACTACTTTCACAATTACTAGGTTTGTATCATCAGACTTAAAACTACTAAGCGAGTCTGTCTGCAGATTGTAAATTCTTTTTCTGTTTAGATATTAAACGAATAAAAGCAAGATAAAATGCAGCGATTTCAGCGTAAAAAACAAGTACAAGTTTGGAAAAAATTTGAAGCTTGTAAATTTTTTTAGTGCCCACAAAGGTGAGTTCTACCTCTGTGCTTTTTGCTTCCTTTAGTTAATCCCTGCAGCATTGCCAAACAGTTTTTTCCCAACATACAATTGCATATTATTCTCATTTTAAAAATTTTTTCTTTTGGTAAAACATTTTTTTTTTGTAAAAAAAAACTAGCTTCCTTTTCAGTTAAGGATACACTGAAAATGAAATATTTACACTGCAAAACTGCCATAAATTAAAAGCAAAATTTTGTTTAGCCAAAGAAACGCATGAACTACGAGTAACACAGGAAAAACCTTAATATATTAACATCGAGGAACCATTATATTTTAAAAGTGAGAATTTTTACTAGCCAAAGAAACATGAACAATAATCAAAAATCATTATACTTTAAAAGCGACACTAGAAGAAACACATATATTGATAATCATAAACATTTGTTTCTGGCCAATGCAGAAATGCACTGAACTTTCTTGCCACGGCTATTGCAAAAGAGAAGTATCAAATACTATTTATTTCATTCTCCACTAGAAAAAGCAAGCTTTCAAAAAACACTCCAAGATCTGGAGACCACTTGACATAAGAATGCATGAAATGTCTTGCGGATGTGCCAACTTGCTTAACTGAAAAATCACATTTTTTTTCAATGACAAACTGCAAATACTCATTTATTATTTGAAAGTTTTTTTTTTTATAAAAATTAGTTTAATCCATTCTCAAACAACTGTTAACAATGGCAGCAGATTCTGCTTACAGCAAATGCTTGCTTCTGTTAAAGAATTTTTTAGTGTCCTTGATTTAATAACCTACAATGAAAATTTTCTCTTTTTATAAAGAGAAACTGCCAAGGTGGCCAGCATTATTTTGGAGAGTATGTTTAAGAATTCCACCAGCACTTTCCAGTTTTCCTATTAGACTCCAATAACTATAAATTCTAGCTTTTTAAAAAATAATGAATTAAAAAACGTAAAATTTTAAGAACAACAAAAGAGCTGGCCTAGGGATCCAAACTCATTACCATTTAGCCACTTTGCAATCTTATTTACTATGACTGGCATTGTGTTTTAGTGTATAAATTGCACTGGTATAACTTGTAAGGTGATAGTCCACATGAAGTACTCAACTGGAAGTTCTTTTAAAATTATATTCAATTTGCAACATTCTACTTTTTTGCACATCTCTTGACAAACAATTTTATGAACTTTTGAAGAGAAAAGTTTTTTCTTCAAAAATTCTAAATGAAAACTATTACACAAATAAATGACAAAATGCATCTATCATTATTCTTCATAATATATATTTAATTATTCTTAAATGCAGTGGATGGACAAAAATATGGAAACACCTTGTAAAATGCATGTTTGAAAAGAAAGATTAATTTTAATGAAATATGTAGGTGGCGCTGGCGCTTTTGACTACTGACGCCAGCTATACAACTTCGTAAATGTGCTAAACAGTTCAGTTGTTGTTGGAGTACTGTTATGTGAGGTTGTCATTGCATTATGTCAGAGTTAACAGACTTCGAACATGGGCAAATTGTTGGAGCACATATGGTAGGTGCTTCCGTAAGCAAGGTAGCCGAGGTGTTTAGTGTTTCAAGAGGTACTGTATCGAAGATTTATTCCGCATATTTGAAAAGCGGAAAAACATCATCTGCTAAATCACAGCGCGGACGAAAGTGTGTCCTGAGTGATCGTGACAGACGATCATTAAGGGCAATTATGACGAAAAATAAGAAGACCACAGCTGCAAAAGTTACTGCTGAAATGAATGTTGTGTTACCGAACCCTGCGAGTACCAAAACAATTAGAAGGGAGCTTCATAAACAGGGAATTGCTGGTCGTGCTGCAATTGAAAAGCCACTCATCAGTGATGCTAATGCCCGTAACAGGAAAAGGTGGTGTTTAAGTCATAAAGCCTGGACTAGAGCAGTGGAAGCTAGTAATATGGTCTGACGAGTCTTCTTTCACATTGTTTCCCAATTCTGGCCGAGTTTACGTCTGGAGAACGCCATCTCAAGCTTATAATACAGACTGCTTGTTGCCAAGAGTGAAACATGGTGGGGGTTCTGTTATGGTTTGGGCAGCCATATCGTGGTTCTCTGCTAGCCCCATGATAACTGTGTCAGGGCACATGACTGCCAAGACTTGTGTGAACATTTTGACCTATCAAGTTCATCCCATGGTACAAACTTTGTTCCCCGATGGTGATGGTGTCTTCCAAGACGACAAAGCCCCTGTTCACACAGCTCACATTGTCCAGGACTGGTTTTCTGAGCACGAGTTGTCCCATCTCCCCTGGCCACCACAGTCACCAGACCTGAATATTATTGAACTTTTTGATCTACATTGGAACGGAAAGTGCGTTCTCGTTATCCACCGCCAACATCGTTATCTGAACTTGCCACCATTTTGCAGGAAGAATGGTATAATATTCCCTTGGCAAACATACAGGAACTGTATTTATCCATTCCGAGAAGACTGCAAGCTGTTTTGGATGCCAACGGGTTTCCTACACTATATTAAGCAAAGAAACATGTTTTTTTAAAGGTGTTTCCATATTTTTGTCCAACCCCTGTAATTCAATGTTAAGTGGATGAAAGCCCCTGAAATTTGTCATGAAATGAATTAAGTCAATAATAAAAAAAAATATTTTAAGACATGAACTAAACTTATAATACAACATTCTCGCTTACTTAAATATTTAAAAATATGTCATGATTACAGAAACTTAAAAAGCTGATTATATCCAGAGATTAATATATTTAATGTGAAACACAAAATTGGATTTTATTGTTAATGTGAGGACTTACGTTTTTCGAAGTACTAGAATTACCATTTTCCTTCCACCACCTTTTACCCCGTTGCCTACAAATAAAATTATCATTAAAACTACCAGCTTTAATTTCAACAAGAACATAGCAAAATACATTAACTAATTATAAAAAAATAAATTCTAAATAATAAGCAGAAACTTTATTTATTACCTTTGATTTGGACCCCAATTTTCTTTCACTTGTGAATCAGCACTTTGTTTTGAAGAAATACCTGAAGATGTATTAAGCACTGTATCCTTGGCAAAAGGCATAACAGTACTGCTTCCAACAGCAAGGTAACTTTGGTCTTGATTATTTATTGCACCTAATCCCACTTGGCTACGAGGCACCAGGACTGGATTGTGCCGAGCTTGTGATGCATGAGTTGGATAAATTGAAGGAAGCTTACTGTAGTAGAGATTAGGAGCAGTAAAAAAATTCATATCTACTCCAAAATTGTGAAGATTTCTTGAACGTGTTGAAGGGTACGGCATGTACTCAAAGCCACAGCTGTTGGTGTTGACAATGTTGTGAAATGAAGGTTGCTGATGTAATTGCTGCCTCTGAAGGTATGACGTGGACTGTCCTCGATTGTTGAAATACCTGTTTTGTTCACTACGTGTAAAATTATAATTCTGTGGTGTGTAAGTCTTTACTGGCCTGAAAATGATTAAACCATATTTTATAACAGGCATACATAAATAATATCTGAAAACTTAATCAGATTATGAATATATACTGTTGTCCAATGAAATTGCAACATCAAGAAAGTTTTTTTTTTTTTTTTTTGATTATCTAGAGATTCTGCAGATTGGGTGCTTAATACAATGAGCACACAGTAGTGAAGAGTCAATGCAACATCTTCAATGTTGACACAAGAGTGGAAGACTGCAATTGCTATCAACACTGTTGCAGCAAAGGCCTTAGCCTATTACCACAACTTTATTTGACCTATACAAAAGCAATTTCAACACCACTTGGGAACAATTTCTAACAAATATTTTGTTTAGTTTGATTTCTGAGCTGTTTTAGAGTTAATAGGCATGCTTACTTCAAAACTGTAGTTTTTCTTTTACTGCATCAAGTGTTTTTTTCTACACCTTGTGTATGTGACCAGTCTTCATGGTGTTTCAATGTGCAAGCGCATTTCAATGTGAAGTTCGAGTTCTTGTTTGTATACTAAGTTAGCATAGTTTAGTTTAGTATATAAATTAAAACCTTTCCTTCTGTTACCTATTTCAGATCATAAGTGGTTAAACTGACATAAGTGCTTAGCTTTGTTACACACGTGGCTGTTTTACCATTTTCAGTCAAGAAACAAACATCAGAACATTTCTCAGACAAACTTATTTCAAAGTGAAAATTGGTTAACAAGATAAATCATGGGACCCTCACAAAGTGTGCAAGCAGTGTGTTGAGAGTTTATGGACGTGTATAGAGGGAACATATTCTAAATTTCTATTTGGTATATGCATCAAGGTTCATAGCCACATTTTAGTTAAAAAATAAGCATCTACAAGCACTTTCAAGCACATTTTAGACAAAAAAAAAAAAAAAAAAAAAAAAGAGCGCGCACCTGTCTAATGACATTATACACAACTGCATAACCTTAAAAGAAAAATTAGACTTGTAATTTAAAATGAGAAATGCAGTATTCATTCAGAGAGAGGGAGCATTACCTCAAACACTGAAAACAATAATTATTTTTAAAATTTTAACCAACAGTTCAATTTACAGAACTAGTTTACAATGAGGGGGGGGGAAACTATACAGAACTAAACTATATTAGAAGATTTAATGATGAAATTTCAGTTCAAAATAGAGAAAATAAAGCCATATTTATTTGAATTTGTTTTCCCACTCATATTAATATTTAAATAATTTAACATAAATCAAAATTCTGAACAATTTCAAAATTTTCACTGTATAACAGCTTTCCCTTAACAGATATTGCAAGCAAAGTAATTTAAGTAAAAAAAAAAGGAACATTTCTGAAAACAGAAGATGAAAATTGCTTCATGCAGTCATCCTTTAACAGTAAAAGCTTAATTAACCCACATATTCAGAAACTGCCGAATATTCCGGATAGTCTAGCGCCATGTTTCCCAACGTGGGGCCCACGCCCCACAAGGGGCAATGCGACTGTTATGGGGGGCAACTTGAAAATGGACTCATGCAGAGTTTAAGGAGACAAAGGACTTTCTAAATATGTTTCATGAAGTCAAAATTTTTCGAAATTAAATTTTTTATTCTCCAAAATAAAGAAAAATGTAAGTGATGTATACATAAAAAAATTTTAAATTGCAGTGCATTTTTAATATTTTATAAAGAATTTTCGCTGTAGACATGGACATTTAAATGCTTTTAAAGGCATTTAAAAAACTGACACATTATGCTTTCCAGATGTTTCTCGCACATTTCAGCCAACAAATTTACTTTTTTTTACTGTACAAATGGCAACCGGTATATTATTCTTTCCTTGAATGGCAATAGTAGCTGCTTTCAGTTCTTGTTTATATTGATCTTATATTTCTTTCCTTCAACTCTTAGTGAAATGAGGGGTGCAAGCAAGAGAAAAAATGTTGTCAGTATTTGGAGGCATATTTAAAATTTGGTTTCATATCCGGTCAACTTTTGTCCTTTTATGTCAATAATGCCTGACCAACAATTCAATGAAACTAGGTCGCTTGAGGAACATTTGAAGGCGAAACATAATGTTGATATTAATTCAGATTTGAATTATTTTCACACTTTAAGGAAAATTTTTGAAAAGAGAGTAATATTAAAGTGTCTATTTACTGCTCATAATGCAACTGTTAATCATGCTCTTGAGGCTATTTATCAAATTTCATACCTCATCGCTTAATCTGGGAAAAGCCGTAATATAGGGAAGAATTTAATCAGCCATTAATATCAGCATTTAAAACTGTTCTAGAAAAAGATGACAAAGACGTTAAAGCTATGCCAATAAATAACAATACTGTTTGCAGAAGAAAGATTAAATGAATGAGGATATTGAAATACATCTTGTTGAAAAGCTGAAAACAAACGTTTCGGTGCAAATGGATGAACCAACTTTGAGAGAGAGTGAGGCAGTACTTGTAACTTGTTTAAGATATATTCATAAAGAGGATTTTGCCGAAGAAATGTTCTGTAAATTCTTAGAAAGCACCCCTACCTCCAAGGATATTTATAGTAAGCTAAAAAATATAATACATCTTGTACTGCAGATGGTGCTCCTAATATGATAGTTGAAAAATAAAGTAAAGCACGGAATAAGGAAAAGGGTTGCTTAAAATTGATAAAAGATGAAAATCCAGAAAGGCTTCATGTCCATTATGTTATTCATAGAGAAAACCTGGTAGCTAAAAACAATTTGCCTGTTCTAAATGAAGTACTAAATTTAGTTATAAAGTGTATCAATGCTATTAAAGCTAGGGCCAAATGTGAACGTCTTTTCAAGTTATTTTATGAAGAACAAAATGAAGACTATATGAGACTTCACACTGAAGTAAGAAGGCTGTCGAAAGGGAACTGCTTGGAAAGATCTATGGAACTATTTGATACTCTTAGTTATTTTTTAAGCGACAAACCTGAAATGAAAAATCCGTTAACGGATGATAACATGGCAATTGTGAGTTATTTAGCTGATATCTTCGAAAAATTAAATATATTAAATAAACAACTTCAAGGAGCAAATAAAAGTCATGATGCAAAAGGAAGATATTTGGTTTCATTATCTTTGTTGAATTCCGTCAGGCATATACTACTTACCAAAAAAATTTTGAAAAGTTTCATTGGCTCCAAAAATGTGACACGACTACCACTATACTTGTTATTGGCGACCATCTGAAAATTTTATCGGCTGATTTAAAAGATTTTGTAACTTAAAACGAATTAATTTCCCAACTTGGATGATGCAGCCAATGCTAGTGGATTTGGCTGACATTTCAAATATGCAGTAAAAAGAAGAACTCGCAGAAATGCAAAATGATGAGTCAATTAAAACTTCATTTAATATAAAAGAAGCTATGTCATAGCTTTGTGAGGAAACCAGAATCAGATATCCAAATGCAACAAAATTTGCAAGAGAACTATTGTTACTGTTTCCATCTTCATATTTTACCGAATGCGGATTTAGTGCCATAAATGATTAATTTGCTGCTAAAAAAAAAAAAAAAAAAAAAGAGGTTGGATATGAAACCGGGAGACTTGAGACTCAAGTTATCTAAATTGGAATCTGACATAAAATTTCTTTGCAGCAAGTATCAAGCGCAAGGAACTCGCTAAATTTAAATACTAAAAATTACTAATACGTAAAATAAAAAACTTTCACTAAAATGATTTTTCACTTACTGTGTTTGCTCATAAAATTTCATAGTCATTTCTTCCTAAAAGCTATCATTCAAGTTTCTTTCGTGAAAATTTCAGTTTTTAAATATTAAAAATTATGTATATGCTAGGGGGAGCTTAAAAGTTTTAGAGAGGATTAGGTGGGGCATAGCACAAAAAGGTTGGGAAACACTGGTCTAGCGTAACTGGAAAAAGAGGAAAGGGGGTAGACTGTAGCCATTCTTTAGATTTTTCGGTTAAATAAATGCTTTTTACATTTTGTTATGTGCTTCACATAAAAATTGACCAACGGAACTGAAAAACATTCTGCTTAGCAAGCACAGTAAAACTCTTTTAAGTGTTCATAAACAAATCTCCGACTGAACATCAAAATTAATTAGCTCTGCAAAATATAGCAACATTATTGCACAATACGCTCGCTGCAATTCTTCCATACGTCACATTATGCAATCAGAATCAACAGTTGCCGGTATTCAGAGAATAAAGAACTAAATAAAGGAAAAGAAAGAGACTTGCCAATCTGGGGTGTTTTTCATTCTAATTTTGAACAGAGTGCGTTAAATTTCTGGAATATAATTATTCTTCCCTTGGGTTGTTAGACCGCAGAACTTTTAGTATTATTCAATCCAGAATTGGAAAGTGAAAAAAAGTCTGTTGTTTGTTTCGAAGCGAACTGTAACAGTTTCACTATTTGAGATTTTGCAGAGAAAAGGGAGAACCTCTCAACCTCCATACTGTATAATGCATTGGAAAAACAAAGAGATAAATTATTTTGACTATTTGATTACTTCCCCTTTATTTAAGCCATTCCAAATATTATTCCTTAGAAAGCTTATCCAAGTTAAAACACCCATTTTTGGAAGTTTATCTATACTTCAGCAGTTACTGCAACTATATTATTATAAATATTCATACATATGCTCATAATATAAGCATAACGATCATAATAAACACGAATATGAACTGACACGGAATGAGAATGCGAATTATTAAAATCTTGATAGAAATTCAAATGCATGTAGTATTTGGGTGGGAAGAAAAGAATGTTGGATGTACCGGAATTTTCTACCGCTTTCACAATTCTTTGACCAATAGAATGACGTGCACCTGTCTGTACTCTTGCGTGCACTAAAAGTTACGTTAATGCAAAGAAAGGGGGAACGCTATTTCCGGGAGTATGATTCTGCGCATCTGACGTTCCACATAAGGAAGAAAAGTTGTTTATTTAGTTTCGGCTTTGGTACGGGGGAAAACTGCACGTTCATTATAAAAAGCACTAAAAGCAAAAAATAAGGGCTTTAAAGAAAAAGTAAGCACCTATAAAGGCCTTTATATTTTATTTTCAAATATAAGGACACTTGTAAGGACTGCTACGAACCTTGTCTGATGCATGATTTGGCAGGAGACCAAAGATTATTCAAGTGATTGCTACTTTTGTATAGTAAAAATGTCAGGATATAACAAGAAAAACAAATTTAAAATATAGTATCCTAGTTTACTATCAGCTGTACTCCTAGTGCAAGTTTTCAAAGACTTACCCTCTTAGAATATACATGAAACTTGTGGATATTGAACTGACCCAAATGATGAAGATTTTGAAATTGAAGATGATTTCGTTTATAAGGGGCTTGAACAGCAGGAATCAATTGTTTAGCACAAGATTGGGACTAGAAAAAAGCTTCAGTCATTAGCATCTAGAACGCATGAGAAAAACTTGCTTGAGAAAGAAGCTAAGGTATCCATCCTACTTTTGATCAAGAGAAAATGTATTTCTGCAATACTTTCAAAGTGGTGTTGGATTTGCGCGCTGCTATAACATACATAGTTTAATGGAAGAGATTGGAATTTCAGCCTATAATGCAAAGCGGAGGTTGAAGTCTGTTCTACATAAAGGAAATTTATTTGGTACAGACCTAATAGGCCATTGAGTTTGTTTGTGTGAAGAATATGGACATAAAGAGTTACTGATCTGCTGCAATATCACATGCACAAACGGATCATCTGTATTGAACTTAAAACGGACTGCTTTCTCCTTGGCCAACAATGCAGATATATTAAGTATCACTGTTTTTTGTGCATGTGGGACATCAAAGCTTGTAAGAAGCATTGGATGCAGTCAAATCGTTCATCAACAACAAGGTTTAAAGGATATTTTATTATCACTTTTTATGTATCATAAGTACTATGAAGAAGCAGCAATGAAGAGTTGCTAAACTGAAAATCCTACCCTCCTGTAATTTCACTTAACAGGATAATCTAACCTCATACTAAAAGCAATGTTCACCATTTCCCTTGTTATTTATTAGCTTATACGAATGCTTTTCTGGCCTGTGCAGTTTCATAATGTCTTCCAATGAGTGCATGTGAGATATGACTAAGGTCTGTATGTCAACATCTATACTTACCATTAGTTATTAACTATACATGGAAGCTTAGTAAATGTGCACAAACGATATTCCAGTCAGTCATATATAGGATCAATGCTAAACTGTTAAAACCCACTCTACACGGCCCCAAAAGGGGGAAGTATTAAATTTAGCATACTTTTTTTTTGTTGCAGACATGCCACTTCAATCAGTTTTGCCTTACATTATACATTTGCTGTTAGGATAAATATTTGTTATTGATATTGTTGCTAGTGTCATAATCTTAATTAACAGCAGCATGCTTTTCTACATCATCATAAAACAAATGATAATTATTTTAAAGCCTTCTTAAATGATCTTTAAAATTTTTTTTTCGGGGGGGGGGGTATTTGAAGGTTTTAAGACTTTCACAGTTTTTATGCAGATAGTTTTAAAAAAATAGAAAGTGTCGTTTCTAACGCACTATATTTAAACACACCCTTATTAAGATTGCACAACAATAAATAATAACTATTTTAGTATAAAAGAAATTATATTACTGTAATATTTTATTATTTAAGTTGTTGCACATCTATTACTTTAATGTATTGTGATATAGATGTGTTTAAATTTGTTGTTATTATAACATGTTCATACTGGCAGATACTACACGTTTTAAAGCAAAACAGAGGATATTGTTAAACACACAAATTATCTGAAAGATTTTCCATGCTAAAATATAAAATAAAATTTGTTTATTAAGATTTGAATATTACACAAAAACTGCATTCAGTAATCAAGCATACATTTCAGTGTAACAGTATGTATTGCAATTTCTCTGATCTGATCTAAAAAATAAATAATTTATAATTACATCAAGCACTATTTAATAGATAACCTACCTATCTCTAGACGAATAACTATGCCTATTTGTATTATTATTCAAAGGTCTGAAAGCAGCCTGAGGTGAGAGACCGTTTACAGAAAGCACCTATAAAAAATTAATTATATAATTAAAAGAACCAATATCATAATAAATTACATATTATAAGATCAAAGTTAATTACAGCCAAAGTAATTGATAAGATAATTTAGAAGAAAAACAATTAGAAAACCAGAAAGATGGTTATAGCAAGTTCATTGAATTTGACATTCATTTTAAATTAAAATCAGCCATGTAAATCCTGCACCACTAATTTTATTTTGTGGTTGTTTTTATAAAAATTATAAAAGAAGAAGCCTCTCTACAGCGAAACCAAACAGTATAACAAACATTTGAAATTTTTTCTTAAAACTAACACATCAATTTAAATATTAGATGAAATAAATATTTTTCTATTTTTCACAAGATCTACTTACGCCTGTGAAATAAACATGCTTTAAAAAAACTACGAGAACTCTACAGCACGAAGTCTGAAATTGAAAGAAAAACAAGCCTGGATGGCTAATCTGGGAAGTTTTGGGAATTATCCATTTTAGAAGCAGCTGCGTAATTATCCTTTAAGCAGTGGGTCCACACCATTGAAAACACATTTCATAATTAATTTCCTGTACGATGGAAACAGTTTATATCATACGTTAGTAATCTTTTGGCAGTTTCTTGTATTCAAGTTTTCTTCCGGCGAAATATTACAGCAAATTGGAGATATCTTTCACTTATTTCTATACAATAAAGGACATGTTTGAAAGCAGAAGTTCCAATAAGAATGGAAAGTCATTTTTATGACACTCATATAATAAATATTATATAAATACATCTTAATTTATAACACTTAAGTCAAAAGATTCGCGATCATTTATCAAACAAAAGATCTGTGTTATAAATTAAAGGATTTCAATTTTCTGCTCTTCTAGTTGGTGGTATCGTATTGCATATTGTTTTTTCTTTCTTGAGCGAGGAAATAATGCCACCATTATCAAGTTTGCAATTTGATTACCCAAATCAATCACTTTATAAATGATTTTCACAGCCTTTAAAAACATAATTGTTAATAAAACTTATTTTCAATTAAATTTTCATCATGTTGAGAGGATTTTTGGCTGTCAGATTGTAAAGACAAAAGCAGGAAATGTGAAAAAAAATCCTTGCAGGGATCAGAACAACAGATATTTTAACTGCTAGTATTATTGTAGTAGTTATTATAATACAAAGGCATGCACTGGAAAAACACTATACATCAATATGAGAAAAAGATTTAATTCTGATCAGTAAACCAAAAATTTAATTAACATGGAAATTTACTGTAAATCACAATATTTTAGTTCCTTACTGCAGTACTTTTTTGAAGTGTCTGAGAAACACTCTGAATACAATAAGTCTGTGCCCAGAAAGAGCTCTTAAAAGAGGTAAGAGCCTATTCTACTTTTACTACTATTCTATTTTTATGAATTTTTTTTAATAATTTTTTAAGCACCATCTATCCTCAAGGATTTTGTGCAAGCAAAATGAATTCAAAAATATTCCTAACTTAATTACAGCCAAAATTTACATTAGTGAAAAGTACTCATCAGGTTTTAATGAAAGTTTCCTGGCACCGCAAATATGATCTGTACAAACAGTGCATGCTGGCTTGTTTAATAATATTTTGTCAAATAATTTTTGGCACTTGAAAGAACAAGACTTGCTTTAGAGCACAGTAGCACAAATTTGCAACAAAAATATCGTTATCGTTAAGCACAAGGTGTCTGAAATGGAAATATCTTGCTACCAGATCAGAACCACTATTTACTTCCAGTTCTGTTACAAAAAGTCAGCTACAGAATGACACTAAATCAACTATACAGCTTTAGGTACTAATGCTTGTATCATATGACACTGTGAAAGTTTGGTACCAAAAGTTCAAAAACAAGTACTATGATATTCAAGAAGCAGAACGCTCTGGCCGACACACTGACGTTGATGAGGCCTGCCTGTGAGAACTAGTGGTATAATATCAGTATGTAACCACAAAAAAAGCTTGCTAAGGAGTTTAGATGTTAGTGCTATGTCCAATTAGTTGTGCTATACATCGCATAAAGTTGACGTATAAGTTCAATTGCTAAATGCTGCATGTGCGACTCAGGCAGATAAAGACAGATTGCATTTGGGCCTGCATTGATTCACTTGACTAACAACGGAAGGACAAAATCCTGGATTGGGTCAACATTTGTCATGAAAAGTGGATTTGCTTCAACACTTAGGCCGAAAAGGGGGTTGGGTCTGTGGCTGGTGAGCTCATTAGCAGCATCGCAAAGCACATTTGACTAACAAAAAGGTCATGCTATGTATCTGGTAGTATTGCTGTCGTATTATTCACAAAGAGTATCTGGAAAAAGTTAAAACCTTCGACAGTAAGGTGTACAGCGCAATGCTAGTCTGTGTTGACGCTGCTATCAAGGGAAAATGTCAAACTGAGTTCTGGTGGAAAAAGGTAAGCCTCTTAAATCTGTTTCATGTTTTATAAGTTTAGAAATAGTGTTGAGAGAAAGAAAGATGGGATAGATAATAAAGGAATGTAACGTAAAGAGGTATTTAAATAAGTGCATAATATCCATGCAATGAAAGCATTTTTAAAACTTTAAAATGTACCATAATATATCACTTTTTTCAGTTACGACTAAAACCTTGATATTTTCAAAACTTAGCCATAAAAAGTGAATATAATCAAATCATTTGCATTACCACAGATTATTAATGACAGCAAAAGTGAGGGGGTCCATACAATTGCAACTCAATTTTATCAACCATAGTGTAACATAAGACACAACATAACACTTAAGGGCTGTTCACACTGGGGTTTATCTGACCTAATGGAGTCAATTCCATATGCTGACTAGCTATACTACATGTGAAGTCCACATTTTTCAAATGAAGGAAAACTAGCAATTTTTTTTAATTCTATACAGCTATGTCGGTTAAGTCAGATAGATGCCTCCATTAGCATTGTTAGACTTCTGGGTATATGGCCCTTTAAACATAAAATGAGACACATATGGTTGCATTGTCTGGCACAGATGTCTTACTTCACATTCAACTGCTGATAATTACAAGTCAATATCTGGTTGGACAATTAAGTGGCTTTTATGTTCTTTTGGTGTATGGATAAGCACAGAATTCTTCTTTACAGAGCTATTAATTGAGAAAGGCAGTAATATTAATTTTGCTTTCTCAGATAACATTTTGAATTCATGCTGTTAATGCAATTTTTAATTCGCTGCAAAATGCAAGATTTTATATGGACCCCATATTCTGCCGAGTATAAGCTGGGCATTTTTTTTTTTTTTGGGTGTATGAGTGTGAGGGAATGATGAAAATATTTTAAGGGTCTTAAAAGTATCTTCTCTTTTCGATGGAAACAGAAAAAATACTATAAAAATGGCTCTCTTTATGCCTCAAGGTGAGCCTGAATTTTTTTTTTTCAATACCTTTTCCGGAATCTTGGTGTCATTTTCATTCAAAAAGCTTTTTTGTATGAGAGGTAATTATTATCTTTTTCCATGTACTCAAATCAAAGCAACCGTCCTCTTAAAAGCAACAGTTTGGTGTTTGCAGAAAAAACAAAACTGGTTTTTATCTTCCCAATGATACTCATTTGCTTTCTTTAGCTAATTGGCCAAATATGCCAGCTTGCATATCTAGGCCTCAGAATTTAAAACCGTAACAATGTAGTAAAATTGCATTACTACATTGTTAACCAGAGATTTGGTTAACTATTGTTAACCAGAGATTTGGTTAACAATGTAGTAATGCAATCTTCCCACTTTAGTTATTTCTTAGATGGTGCAACTAAAATGCTATTTTAAACAATAAGTACAATTAACTGCAGTATCAAAAAATAAAATAAAAAAAAAAAATCAATAACTTTAACAACTAAACATGCGATAAAACTGTGGTAAAAAGATATGATTAAAAGAACCTATTCACCATCTAAAAGAATAGACAATCAACTAAAATAGGAGATTGCACATTATATTACTGCGTTATATCTTATAAAAGTGTTGCTGGATAAGATTTATCAAACATGCCAAAACTACCTTCCTTCAGAGTGCAGCAAGTGGGGCTCGTAGTGGCTTTCTACATATTCAAACAGAAATTTGAAAAGCTTGCTTTTAAGAAAAAGAATTTATACAGTTTTCAACATTATCATAAGTTCAGACAACACTGTGACACTCTATTAATAATGTGATCCATTCATGATTGTATTTCATTTGATATGAAGAATTTATTTAAAAGAAAACATTTCACCGCCTAATATTCTGGTTGTTAACCTCATGACATCAGTTGATTCAACCATTTGTGGCACATATTTGATACACCCAACGTAACCAGTAAGTTTTTTAAAAAAAAATTTTTTTTTACATCATTACCCATATTTGATTCTCTGAGGAATGGTATTTATTAAAGGAATGTTTGAGACTAACACAGACTATAGCTGCCAACATTGAAATCTGAAAAACCAGGCAGCTATCATGCCATTTCAAAGGAGCTCCTGACTGACATTCACTTTATAATGCATGATTCAAGATATTAAACTATTTATAAACTACATTAGTATTTAATTAGATATTCAAAATTTTATACTCTTCTGACTAATTTTATTTTGTAATTTTCTTACACTTTTATACCAAGAAACACCCAAAAGAGGTTTATATTTATCGAAGCACTTTTAAATACAACGAAAATAAAATTAATAATCAATGTACATAATATTTATCAAGATTAGGAGGCTTTCACGTTGTGCAGCAATGCCTTTCAAAGGAACTTTTGACTTAATTCCACTTTATAATGATTCAAGTTATTAAAATATTTGTAAAATATATTAGTATTTAACTAGATATTCAAGTTTCATGCTCCTTGGCTAATGTTATTATGCAATTTTTTTACACTTTTATACTGAGAAAAACTCAAATATGGTGTGAGGGGGGAAGGTTTATATATCAAACTACTTTTAAATATGATGGCAATAAAATTTATCTAATAATTTACCAGGATTAACTTTGTAATATACTGAAAAATAGATACATTAACTGTTTTATCTTCATATAAAAATCTACTAATGTCTACAGTATTTAAGACAACTCAGATAAAATGAAATTTAATAAGAAAATGCCAATAAAATGTAATAAGAGGGGGGGGGAATAAAGTTTAGATGAAATAAAATTTAAACAAGGAAAATTATTTCAAAAACCACTAAGAGTGGATGATTAGAACGTGCACAAATTTCACTCATTCAATAAAATTTATTGCTGGAAATTCCTTTAGGCTAAAAATTAAAAACTGGGAGAGTTGGTAGGTATGCTAGGCTTTTTATCAAGCAAACACTTAATATGGCACAATAAGAGTGACTACATTAGTATAAGCTTAACCAGACCATAACGTTAGGTAAGAAGTTTAACCTTTTCCTTTGAGAAGAGGTACTCATTTTTTTCTGTGAATTCCATATTCAAATACAGTGGGATACATCATTGATCTGTTCCAGATCCTTGGACTCGCCCAAAAACTTTTCCAGTATGAAATTGAGGGAAAATAACTAATCTGCTCCCATAAAACAATCTTATTGTTATTTTTTATAACACTGTTTAATACTAAAAAAGAAACATACAAGAACAAAACACAAACACAGGTGTTTCCACACTATACTTTTTATTCAGGCCATGTCAACCACTATTGACTGATACAAGTTAAAAAATATTGTTCTTTTATCAAATTCGACACAGATAAGCTACCAGCATATTGGTAAAACTGGATATCACTGGTTAAATAGAAGTGAATAATAGCCTTAATGGGTTAATGAACAAATGTAAAGTTCATTTTAATCAGCACAAATGCAGCTTATGTTAGAATTAATCCTCCAGTTTTGCCTATTGTATCAGACTATGTAAATTATGTGAGCAGCCAGCCCTGTGCAATATTTCTACCTGTTGGTGAGCTCCCCTTTTGCTTTCAATATTAAGTAACAGCTCATAAAATTAACAGTGCAAGGTGCTATGTATAAATAAATCATATCAACTGTACATAATCAAATTTCCTTTTGGCTGTAACACTTTTTGCATTTGATATTCATCAATTAAGTTGTGTATTTAAAACCAAAGTAGAATAAATTTTTAGCCGATATTTATTTCAGTTTCATTTACTGATTGTACTGAAACTGTTTATATGTACTAGACACAAAACTAAACCTCACAAAGTAAATAACAACAATAATTAAAAAAAAAAAAAAAAAAAAAAAAAAAAAGGAAGAATTGTAAAGAAATTATAGTGTTAGTTATATGAAAATCCACTGTAAATTACTGAAGATTGATTATTCAGCTTCTATTTACACAGGATTAAACTTTCAACAGATTCCGGAAAATCCTGAAGAGTCGAGAATGAACAGGAAAAAATTTCAAATATGCATCTGTAAGACATCATTCAGACATTTGGTTTTTGGAAGGGAGCGTTCAGGAGAGTATGCCTGACAAGTTGGCTCATTATGGGGCAAGAGGCCTTAAACTCAGTCTTAATTTACCAGATGCACCAAAAACTTATTTGATCAAACTAAAATTATTTTTAAAAAGATTTTGTCTACAAATGAAGTAAGTAATTTTCAAGGGCTTAATTAATTATACATAAATCAAATTTTCACAAAGTGCATGGTTAGACAGAATTTCGCTGAGGAACAGCAATTTTTGCCATCTTCATGATTAATTTAATATTTTATTTACAACTGAAACACGTAACAATTTTCAAGGGCTTAATTATACACGAATTTTTATACAGGGCATAGTTACTATTAGACAGAAGTTCACTGATGAACAATCATTTTAATCACCTTCATTATTAATATTTTACTTTACAACTTACTTTCAAAGAAGCATGCTACATCCAGTAAATTTAATATAGTGCAGTTCTATATAAAGTTGTCTGATTTTTAAGCATTTAAATATGTAGCAGACATGGCTGAGTTTGACAAAGAAAATATATGCAGTTAAGACTTGCCATTTTCCCTCAAGAAATTAGATAATAAATATAAACCTAATTTTTGCAGAAAAAGTAACATAAACTATGTTTTTACATAGTTTATGCTTACAGAATATACAAAGAAGAAGTTCACCCAGAAAAAACTTCTCCCTATCTTCGTAACTCAATGTATTCTAGGCACTTGTTTTCTCGATATGGAAATACCAACAATTTTAAGCTTCTTTCTGCAAATTTTCAAATTAAGTTCCCCCTGCTGGTTAAAAAGGGACCAGAGCTCAATAAAAGCAAGTTTATCAATGCTCGAAAAATCACAACTACTCATTATCAAAAGATGCAATATAAACACTCAGATGTAGACGCAACTCGTACTATTCAATGATGTACTGCTAAGAGTATGAAAAGCGAAATACCTAGGCGTGATGATAAATAACAAATTAAAATGGAACAATCACATCACTGAAATTAGTAAAAAAGCAGAGCAATCAATAACCTACTTCCGACCACTGGCAAATATTCTCCACTTGACTTGCATCACCTGCCTGGAATATAACTTCCGAAAACGACTTTTGAAACTGCAAAGAATCCAAAACATATCTCCGAATCATGAACAACACACATTACTAGGCAAGAAATCAGCGCTTACATGGGGACTTTATATTTTTAGAAATAGAAACCACTGAAAAATTCCGATAGTATGAATAAAAACATCTATAAAAAGCACTACGCTGCGATCACTTAAATAACTAATTATGAGGCATTAAAAGAGGACAGATAATCAATCTTTTGCAGTCCAGCACGAATCCTAGGAGTTCCTAAGTTCAGAAATCCTAAGTTCCTAAGTTCAGAAAAGGAAATGGTAAAAGTGAATTTTCAAAAGAAAACTGATACACATTTAAATATTCTGGCACAACTACATGGGAAAAACTAAAAGATAAAAAAGATCTTCCTCCTTTGCCCCTCTTTTGAAAGATTAAGTAATTCTCTTTATATACAGTGAGCAAAGTCGTGTATAAATCTGAATACAAGACAATTATTTTAAAAACATCTGTTATTATATCAAACCAGAAGAGAAATGTGCCAATATAAAATTTATAATTAAGACAAAAAGGCAGTCTTAAATTTTTAACAACACTATTGATTTCAAGGGCAGTCAAACATAAGTTCCTCCTCTTTAGCTACAGGAGAGAGGAAGCTGACATATATATCCAGAACTACACCCATCTAGTTCCTTTTTTTGGGGGGGGGGGCTAGCTTTAAAGCTGTTACTATAGTTATCTTAAGGCCAGTTTACACCTCTCCAAGCAATCTGCAGCGAGCCTCTCGCTATGACCTTTTTCACAATGTAAATGCTTACTCCGTTTGAACAGAAATCCAGGGAAGATGAGTCAGTGATTCTATTTCTACTTCCAAAACGGTTGAAAATCTATCCCGGCAGTAACTCCAAGCAGTGCTCGAAGAGATATTGTGACCAAATTTTCTGTCATGTCGAAAATTTGAGATAAAGCAATAATTTAATTATGGCATTTTTTAATGCATACGTGTCTAGTGAAGTATTATGGTATACTTTATAAGGTATTTCTCCCGCGTTCTTAGCATGCCTTCGTGGTGTTGTGGTCTACATGCTGGGCGGGTATTCATGTGGTTTGATTCCTGGCGAAGACGTTGCTCATTTTTCATGATTCCTGCTTCCCCCCCCAAAAAAAACATAATGTCTCTACAGCAACGCCCAAACTAAAAGGGTGGTGGATGATGCTTCTCCGCAGCCAGTCGCCCTTTAAAAAGGAAGTATATAAGGTATTTCTCCCGCCTTCTTAGAATGCCTCTGTGGCATAGTGGTACCTTTGGTGTGTAGCATGCCTTTGGAATACGCTGAGAGAGGATTCCAAAGGTTCGTGGTTCGATTCCTGTTGAGGGTGTTGCTCATTTTTGACATCTGCTTCCCTCGAAAAAACCTAATATCTATCTCTTTACCTTGTTTACCAATATCCAATATGACCAATTGTTTACTATTACCTAAATACAACATGAATATAACTACTAATCAGAATGAATTTAGGATTTTGATAATTGTACATAAAAAACAGAAGAAAATTAAATTACAGTATCAGATTCAAAATATTTACTTTAAACATTTATTTCTGAATTTTCTTTAACCAAAAACAATTAATTTATATGTTATTCAACTACCTAATAAAATACAGTTATCAATTAAAAAATAACTGAAAGAGCAAACATTTGATTTTGTCAATATAAATTTTAGGGGGAAGGGGGGAACCATTTTTTACTCATGGCCAATTACATGCAATAAAATATAATCTAAAATTTTGTTTATAGACTTCCCTTTTTATTGGAACAGCAAATTAGATTTTATTTACAAATGATCAGTTGGAAAATTGATTTAATGCTCCCAATTCACCATAGCGAGCCAATCAGTCACGTAATGATTTTTTCCTTTCATGATTTAAATAATAAATGCACATGAAAAAGAAAACAGCATATTTTACCTATTATTTTAAAATTAATAAAAAAGTATTATTAATTTTTTGAGCATTATATATTCATACAGCCCATTTCAAGTTTTGCCTACATATGCTCTCCCAGAAGAATAAGAAAATTCAAGATAAATTTAATTTGAGCAATGCATTGCATAAAGATGACTATATTATTAAAATTAAAAAAAAAAAAAAAAAAAAAAAAAAAATTAAAATTTAGCTATAAATTTAACAAATCAATAAAAATAATTTGTCTTCTACTTCATGTCAAGTCTGTTACCTTGAGATGATTTTATCCACTATTAGTTTATAAATCTGCCTAAAGGTAGCAGTACATATTCAAAGTAGTAAAGCTTAGCTTGACTAGTTTACCTATGTCACTAAATATGTACTGCCTTTTTTGGCGACTTGACATGAAGTGGAAAGACAAATTATTTTTATTGATATGTTGAAGAAAAAAACTTCTGTAATTAATTTTTAACCTGAATATAACACACTAATAGTTCCTATTTAAAATATGATTTTTTTATATTTTAAATTGAAGAAATATATTTATAGTCATGTTTATGCAATGCATGGCTCAAATTAAACTTTAAATATTAATTTAGCTTGAATTTTCTTCTGGGACAGGCTATGTAAACAAAATCTGAAAATGGGCATTAAAGTAAAAACATAGTATCTTCTAAACTAAAGCTATTTTTAATACAGTTTTTAGGCTGTTTTTCCAAATTTAAAATGCACATTTCTTTGCTTCAAATTGTGTCTTCTCATTTCCTGTTTCAGGGGGAAAAGCTCTTATAATCCCTGCTCTTTCAAGTCACTTTAAAACAGGGCAAGAGGGAAAATTATTTTAAGACGACTTTTTAAAATATAACTTTAATATGTTATCATTATTTTTATGATATTTATCCATGCTATTATGTTTGGAGGGAGTGGGGAACATCGAAAAATCCACAAATCTCTGAATAAAAATTTTTGCATACATACCAACTTGGAAATCACTAAACTTAGTGTCTCATAATAAAAGAACTCAAATTTCAAAACAGGGAAAAGTTTTTTTTAAAGTAATATTTTATGAACTCCTCAAAAATGAAATAATTTCAAAATGCTTATGTTTCAACTGATACAGCGCCTTGTGTCTAAAACTACTTATTTACCATTTATATTAAGTAGTAGTAGAAAAGAATTAAATTGTTAACTCATCCAAATACATATAAGTCAATAACATCGCTAAAAGGTTTTCCTCAAAAACGTTAATTCACACATAACGGCAGTTGTAAAAGTCAGATGTTGATGTCAAATAAAATTAAGGACCTTTTCCCAATTTTGGTCGAAATAAAATAAATAAATAATAATAAAAACAAGGACTTTTAAGGATTGTATAAGCCCTGCATTTTTAATTAAAATTAAAAAATTTAAATTATGACTGATTGAAATAGATCCATCAGTGTGAAATGCTGTAATGCAGGCAGTTAGTTTTTTTTCATCTAATGTATTTCTTTCACATAAATTCTCGCTGCTTTAATAAACTTTTTAATAGCAAATTATCTTAGAATGGATGCTATCAGATCCACAAATTAAATTAAGGTTATGTCATAAACATAGCTAAATCCCACTTTCAGATCCACAGAATTACTTGCTTGTAAGAACTATAATTCCTGAATAGCAACTTCCAATTTTTCTACATTGGAAGAATTGGAACACACTCCTGCATACTAATAAATATTCAGTTATAAGGTTTAAAAAAAAAAAAAACACTGTATTTCTGTGATAAATATTTATTATGATTATGCACACAACCCTTCCCTGATGTGATTCAGAAATGAGACTTTTCTCCCTCTGAAAATTTACAAAGACCATTTTAAAACTTCAAATTTTAATCACTATAATTCAAGTGTTTTATGGCTGTCTACAAAATGTTAAATACGTATTATAACATACCTATGTGCATTTATGCTATCCATGAGAAACAGTCAAAATAAAAGGATTATAAATCAGATCACACCTGCACCTAGTTTTGACTAGGAATTTCTGTGCATCAGTCGTACAAATGGCTATTCCCCATTAAAGGCATACACTTGATGAAAAAGAGCATGCTACTGGATCCAAAAGTTTTCATATGCTTCCCATTAAAATAAGTATATAGTTATGCCATATCTCTATTATAGGAGATGAAAAACGAACTTGGCAGATCCTTTTTTTTAGAAGGCAATTTCTAGTTTTTTTTTTAAAAAATAATGCCACTCTTTTCTTAGTTTCATCAATAGTTATTTGTCCTGGAGCAAGCATGAAGCTACTGGGAAGTGCACATGGGGCAATTGTGGAACACAAATTGGGAACTGCTGATCTAGATTATAACAAGGTGAAATTCAAATTCTTACCAACAAAAATACACTCAATGTATATCACTCAAATTTCAGTTTCTCAAATATGAAAGACTAGTTCCTTTTTACAAATAAAAATTACGATCATGAAAATATAATAGCAACATTGCATATAAATCAACATAAAATGCTACATACAGTTCCCAAATCAACGCAAGCTGGCGTTGTAGGTGCCCACGCTTGAAGCATGGTTGGAGGATAAAATGGAGGGCACACCTAAATGGAAAAAACAATAATCATTCACCCAAAATTGTTTTAAATTTTAAATAAACTTAAATATCAACAAATCTTCGGAAAGAATTCGCAGGACAAAACACAAAGTTAGACTACCTGCTGATTACTGTAACCTTCACCTGGAACATTTGCATATGTGTACTGAACAGGAGTTTGAGGCTGTTGTTGGTTTACATTCTGAGTGTTGTAAGAATCAGGATCTTGTGAGTTACCTCCTCCATTTTTATAAGAAGTAGTGAAAGGGGCTGAAGTAATAGCTTTAGCTTTTATACGAGCCTAAAGTTATTTAAAAAAAAAAATTATAAATGATGCAAAAGCTAAATGAATTTTCAATAAAATTTACAGGAAATTAAGTAAAACAAAGCAATCTTAAACCTTACCATGATGGGTTTCCCATTAAAAGTCTTAGCTTCCTCCCTCAAATATCGGTATGCTTTCTGAGTGTCTTCATCTGTATCAAATAAAACATACCAGCTATTATTGTGGGCAAATTCACATCTGGAAAATTTTGGACAATTCTCACTGCTAAATAATTCTTCAAGTTCCTAAAAGAACAAAACATTGGAGGGGAAAAAAACAGTAAGATATCTACACAAATTCACATCAATTACATTACTATTTTTAAAAGATTAAACTCAATAAAATGTCTTAAAAATATAACCTTGAGCATATAAAATGATAGAACTTTAAAGGGATAGCCAAGGTTCATTATGATCTCTTTTTTTGCAAATTCTACAGAAAAACGATGTTACAAGTATTCACCAAAGTAAAACTGGATTATGTACACTCTTATCAGCTGTATAAAAAACCCAAAATCCACACACACACACTTTTTTTTTTTTTACTTTTTTGGGTTAAATTTAGGACCACACTAGTTATCAAACACAGGGGATCATGACATAATTGTCAAAAATCAGTTTTCCTTTCAAGTTAATTTTCTGAAAAATTTCCTTTATTTTGTATAAATACTGTTGGTACGATTTATTCATGTTTAGTGATAACACTTAACAAACTGATAAAACTCATCATGGGTAAAAGCACAGGATTACGTGTCATTAGTACAAGCCTTGGACACCTGATAGTCAACAGCATGACTTTGCCCAGTTCTGTACCAATTTTGCAGAATTTATTTTGAACATCAGCCTAAGGGTTTTACTTTCCTCTTCCTCTATCAGTAAACCATTTAAAAAAGGATTTCTGGCTTGCTATGTATTTTAAGTACCATGCTACAAAGAGATTACACTCTTACAAACATACAAGCGTTACAAACATACCAGGATTTGAACTTGGGTTAAGAAATCCAGCAGCCTGTAATGTTAACTACTGGACTTATCACCGCTGCACATTTTGATCGCAGATTAGCTGAAAAGATCTTTGGTTTACACCCGATTATGAAACAAATATAAATTTTAGTTATATTTTAAAATCAGCATGATGGAAGCAATTTTTAATTACTTTTCCTTGTTAATTGCATTCTATGCTCCAATGCTAAAATATGCTAAAATTCCTACTGTAAATTGTATTTTCATATACTACAGAATTTTTTTTTTTTTTTAAGTGTGTTCCTGTAATAGCATTTAAAATTTAATATCCCTTAATGAACCAGCTGAAAATCAGATCAATGCTTGATTGTAAATACAGCACACTATAGATTTTAAACCGTTGATGTAGGGTTGGCATGCGGCAGACTACACGAATTCACATGCGCAAGTCCCCACAGGTTGTTGCAAGCTATTATGAGGTGTGAGAAGACATTGCAGAAGCATAATTTATTCAATTACAGCTCAACTTCACATTTCAATAATCATAACTTCAAGGCCAGTGTCAAGGGATTAAGCAATTTGCACTATATCTGTCGCCAAAAATTATCGATTTCAGGGAGGGTGACAAACCAATGAACCTGTTTCAACTATAACGAATGGGAGGATGTAAAATACAATTGAAAAATTATGACAGCATGATTAATTCAGTCTTCAATCTGTTCTACACAAGGCAAGAACTAAGAATGCTCTTGAACTCTCGACTAGTCTTGATTCTCACAAAACCAGGACAATAACATATAATTCTGATCTTACCTATGCATTTAAAATTAATTGTCAATACTCGTTATTTAATTAATTATAGACCTTCTCATATATTTATAATAAATTTCTTTAAAATACATTGAGTAACATGCAATCTAAACAAATCGCAAACCAGTCAGTTACCAATCTTTATATGGAGTCGGCATAACAGAAATATGCACCGTCATCGCCTCACCCAATTCACATTTTCAATAACTGTCTTATTGCATTTACTTAAACAACACACACATTCTAAAAAATGCTTGCCATCATCTATAATTTTGATAGATTGTAGCAAGGTTTTCAAAATGTTTGAGGCATTTAGTATTTTCGAATCTACGAAAAACATAAAAATGAATTTTTTTCATATACTCAACATAACTTGAGAATATGTAAGGGTTGGAACATAAGAATTGTTCTTTTTACACACTCGCTTCTGTTCACTTCTAATTTCTGCTTTAAAAATATAAGATACGACAAGTATTACTTTAAAAATATCAACCTAGTTGTGCCTGCATTAAATGTTTCCAAGAACATATTGTCAATTATAAGCTTCAGTTTTCTTTGCCCCATATGGCTGATGTTTCTTGATTGATAAAGGCACTTTTATACTGCCTCATTTATGGACCCATCCTTTCAATGCTTTGAATGGCTTTTTTTTTAAATCAATGTTCATTTATTATTCAGAAGTCTGGGCTTTTGTCTAGAAAATTTTCATCAACTGGACTTTTGCTTATGGTAGTTTTAATGCAATAAAAAATATTTTTTTTTCAACTAATCAAATTTCACATCAAGTGACTTAATACCCAAAGAAGCAAGTGGCTTACTCTTCCATCTTTAAAAATCTGAGTTTGCATTTTAATGAATTTCATATTTTAAGAGAATGCTAAATAATCTAGTTATACGAGATCCATGTTTTTATACAACTTAAAATCTTACATTTTTTATTCTAAAGTATCATAAGTTACACATTTTTCAGACAGCCATCAGCCATCTAAGGCAAATGCAAAGATAAAATTAACAATCAAGTTTCATAATAAAGCTACATATACAGATAGCTCTCCCCCCTACACAACAAAATAATGGTAAAAGCTCACAGAATAATATTCAATAGCCGGATATTTATTTATGACAGTATCAGTTAGTTCTATTCATACCCTGTGAATTAGGTTGCCACTCAAACAGGGGAATGAAATTCTGACTTGATATTAAACATATTGAAATTAACATATGTGGGATGGCACTGTTCATTATAATCGGATGACGTGACAAGCTGCGAGAATAAATTTTTTACTGTTCCGATGATAGAAGACAGACGATGATGCGACTGAAAGATGTTTGCATGTAAAAGACGGTCGAGCCTCTTCATCTGTAAATATCATCTACTTCCTTTTACAAATGTAATCATTTTGTGGTTTGCAACAACTATTCATGTTTCATTAAATTATAAAGTTTTCCACATATCGGAATAGTTTATTAACCCCTAGACAGCCACCTAATAAGTAAGTTTACAGACATCATATTTCCAGACAGTAAGTACCGGTCTTACAGATTTGGGGGTTCAGGCTGCGATGAGCCTAGGAAGAATTATGACGAATATTAGAAAAGAAAAGAAATAAGTTTTTTTTTTTTTAATTATTTCCACATTGTTACTTCTAAGAATAGTGCTGTACAATACTGTGAATTAAGATGCCTACCTTATATTCCTAGAATTTCAAATCCTTTAACGACTGGGCCTACTACGTCAATTAAACTCTTACATCAAATTGTGTTAGGAACTTTAGGTGATAGAAAAAACAGAGCAAGATTGCATAACTTTTATGGTTTTCTATCTGATTTTAATATTGAAGAAACAAAACAAAAATTACTTAAAACTCTTACTGCAAATGATTTTATTTCTGTGTGTAATTTGTTACATCTTAATTATGATTCAAATCCTGATAAAAACTGTGATTTAATATTGAATAGTCTTTGTGATTTTAAGCTTCTAAAATCGGAAAGTGATGACGAGTTATCTGATGAAAGTGTTTATGATTCTGATAAAAATGATGATGATGTTAATTCCGTTCGGTAAGAATCACCTCCCATAAATAACTCAGTGGATGAAAACATTATAATGCCTAGCAATATTTCCCTACATTTTCGTGATATCTTAGAAACTGTTTCTGAATTTAATGGCACCGATACATATCCAGTTGAATCCTTCATTGGTGATTTAGAAGAATCTTTTAAATTATTTAAGTTATCGGAAGAATTACAGAAAATTGTGTTTGCTAAAAAATTGCTTACTGGTTCTGCTAAAGTATTTATACAGTCTTTAAAAGGTATAATGTCATGAGACAAATTAAGAAATCTTTTATCCGAATTTGGTTCTAAAATAAACAATGCACAAATTCATAACATATTGCAGAAACGAAACTTAAAACCTGGTGAATCTCTTTCCGAATATTTAATTGCCATGCGTGAAATAGCCAGTCGCGGTTCCGTTGATGATTCATCAATTCTTGATTATGTAATCAATGGGATACCCGATCAGAGTAACAACAAAATTATTTTGTATGAGTGTAAAACTATTTCTGAATTCAAAGATAAATTACAAATTTATGAGAAAATTCGTGTTCCAGATACGAAGAATAAGGGTTATTCAAGTACTAACACACAAAATAAAGCATGTGCTATCCAAATAAGGGTAAGGAACCAAGGTGTTATAATTATGGAAGTTTAGGTCATAAATGTAACTCGTGTAACAATAAGAGTAAAGGATATAAGTGTTTAAAATGCAATTTGTTTGGAAACAAAGCTGTAGATTGCTCCAAAACATCTTCTACCTTGGATATTTTTATCCAAGGTGCCAAAACTGTAACTCCAATTACTCAAACTTGTCAGAAAGAAATGCATAAAACTGTTAATTTAGGTAATTTGCAAATTGATGCTGGTAGTCAAGTAACGCTAATCCGAAAAGATAGGTTCTCCTGAACTTAAGTCGGCAGATCTACAGTTAACAGGGTTTGGTACTGGGAAAACTAAGCCTATAGGAAGGTGAATTCGAAACTGATGGTTCGTCATTTCGATCAAATATTTGTGTTATCGCAGAAAACAAGAAATCTGAGAATGATTCTGAAGAGCACAAAAATGCCCATTGCAATGGAAATGGTTCTGAAGAAGCATTTGAAAAAGTTGTTAATTATGGTTTTTTACTTCCAAAACCAGAAACTGATCTTGTTAGTATAGTTCCTGTTACAGTACAGAATGTGATCAAACTGGACACTTCAGCTACAATCAAAGCAAGTGGCACTGATTCCCTGATTGTGAATTCTGATGATGTCCTGAGTGATGCAGATTTTGCTGTAAATGAAAATGATGCTATTAAAGATGAATTAGTGCAAAAAGGAAACTCAAGCACAATACAATTAGCTCTGAAGCCAACGAGGAGAAACCCCACTGAAGAAAGAGATTCTGAAGAGAAGCATTTTCCCGAAGAGTCAGTTGCTAAAGATGATGAATCAA